CGGCGGCCTGAATAGTGGCTGACGGTGGCAGACGGTGGTTCCGGTGATCGCCAGAGGTGCTGACGCGTTCGGAAATTGCTCGGAAGGGACTTACAGTCCTTGATGTCTTGCCGGAAGGATGCACGACAAGGAAAAGATGACTCCTAAGCAGTGGGCTTAGGTTTTAAAGCGAAAGCAAGATTTCTAAGCAGAAGCGAGGGTCCCCAGAGCGAAAGAGCTCTGATACCACTTTGAATATAAAATAATATGTTGTGTATTGATCTAATTCAGAGAGTTACAATATATAGAGACTCTAATGGGCTTAAGTGAAAGGCTCATACCTAATACAATCAGCATAATTACAGACTAATCAATATAATTACAGACTAATCATATCTAATCATATTTAATATATTCTAACAAGGTCCAATGCACAGTGCCGCAAATTAAGATACATGCAAATTTCATTTAAAACCCTCACACACAATTTTCATTAAACTAGGATAGATCATTTATGGCGTTAAGGACTTACAAGATACTCTACTTAATTGTTAAATAAAATCGAGGCCAAGAATGGTGAGGGACATATTTAATATCAAATACTTGAGTACGAGAGAAAATTTGGGGGACAGTACAACTGATTTTATGATAAAGAAATCTCACAAGACCATAAACAAAAACGTCTTTATAGGAAAAGAGTCATTTTACTACTTTGATTAAAAATTAGCTTCACATTTATAAAATATTAAAAATTCCGCTAAAGCGAAAACTATGATTTTATATTTAATTTATTTAATATGCGGACTTCGGCACAATGAAGATTGAACTGTGAAATTTATGAGATTCAAGAACCCATTTATAGGGACATTTGTCAAATTAATGAAAGCTGATGATGCAAAGAACTTGATTTTTTATTTTTATTTTTTTTTTGCTTTTGGTAATATTTCCTTTATATTCTTGCAAGGTCATGAATTTTTACCAATGAATGTCGTGCTTCTATTCACAAATCAAGGGTCCCCAATAAATATTTTTCATGGAGCAAAAGAATGACTCAAGTTCGGTATTAAAAGAAAATGAATAACCCAATCTATCTAGTCTTTTCATGTTGTTCTGTCAAGCAAATTTTGTTTGTCTATAATGATCTTTTGTCCGATTGTTTGTAGCTATGATGAAATCTTATCCTATTCGTTTAGATTATTACCACATGTTTTGTGTTCGACAAATTGCTTGAGCCAATGGTGAATATTTTTATGTACTCCTAATACATTTCCTTCTTGGTATAGTGTTAGTACATCGTTGCCAAGGTCACAATTTGTCCACATGTTACCAAGGAGGAAAGTTTAGAGAAATTATCCAAACTCTTCTCGTATCTCCTTGTCTACTACTTTAAAGTATGAATTCTATTCTCTTGACCGCATATGCTTTTGTTTTGCTATTGATGAAGAACTAGTTGGGAACAGTGAACATTGTGCCACTGTTCCCACACAAATATACCAAAATGCCACGCGCGTGAACCAATTTCCCAAACTGTCACGCATGCAAGGTCGCTGGAGCAGTAGCGAACTATGCATGATGAGGTGTCAGTAAGCTAGTGGTGTCAGAGTTCGCTTCTGACACAAGCGACCTCTGTTGCAATTAATGCCTCACCTGCCATGACACGTGGCTGACATGCAACAGAGGTCGCCCCCCCACCTGGGCGACCTGTGTGCAATTTTTCCTTCAGCGTCGATCATGGCAGGTGAGGCTTTTATTGCAACAGAGGTCGCTTGTGTCAGAAGCGAACCCTGACACCACCAGCTTGCTGACACCTCATCATACGTAGTTCACTACTGCTCCAAGCGACCTCTCATGCGTGGCAGTTTGGGAAATTGGTTCACGCGCGTAGCATTTTGGTATATTTGTGTGGGAACAGTGGCACAATGGTCACTCTTCCGAACTAATTGTTTATTGGAGTGTCTTTTGTCTTAAATACCTTCGTATTTGTGGTGTAAATACATGAGTTATCTAATTCTTCCAATGCTATAAATTTGTGAAAATTGTTATAGAAGTCATTATTGAAGATATAAAGTCTAATTTATTTATTCTTGGTCAAACTAAGTTGTAGGCTTCACCGTAAGAAGATTCCAAAATACAAAGATTCTTTCAGCATTGATAATGATGTTGTGATTTATAGAATGTCTGTTTATATAACATTGGCTTGGCAAGAATCTCAAGAAAAATATTATTCCATTGGTGCAAGTCTTCGTAAATCAGTTGTGATTTCTACCATTTTATAAATCATCGATCCAGATCGTTAGGGGCAAAAAAATCGTAGGATCTTATGATCTTACGTTTTAAATCGCGATCTTAACAACATTGTTTGTAGCCATACTTGAATCCCCTCTCGTATACGAAGCTCTTTGCGTCTGGTTCGTTTGATGTAGAGTTGCCGAAGAAGAAGAAGAAGAAGAAGAAGAAGAAGACGACGCCGTTTCAGATTATCCTTCCTTCTCCATTGTTTGAACTTTAGTTTGGAATCATGGGTAAACTCTTTCAAAAAATATATAAAAACTTATGTTTCAGTTTTGTATTGAATCTTAAGCTTTTTGAATTACGTTTCAGAGAAACAAACTGCAGAGAAATCACGAAGAGAACAAAGGAAAGAATCTCGCTTGGCAAAGAATGCATCAAAACACCAATCCTGGCTCCATCACCAGGTATCTTACTCTATGCTCTCTCTCTCTTTTTTAAATGTTTTGTGTTTGTGTCTTGTTTTCTCACCAAAGCAATGAGAAATTTTATTATTATTATTGTTATTATTATTTATGTTTATAGAAATCTCAAGCTATGAAGAGAAGTAGTAACAATAATTCAGAGTTGAAAACTGAGAGCAAATCAGACCAATCAATTAGTCCTAGTCCTGTAATACTTGATAAGTTATTTTCATTACCCACTCCAAAACGAAGTTGTTTTAATGTTTAGAAAAAAAAAAGTACAAAGTATTTCAATAATTTTACTTTTCTTTTATATCATTTTTTTTTACTAAAATACCCTATATTTTTTAAACCCAAAGTGACATCATTATGAATCACAGGAGATCCCTTTCATAGAAAGTTTAACCCTTTTTATTTATGGATTCTATTATTCTCCTGTAATAGGAGGTACTCTTTATCAATAACTAAAACAAAAAAACAGTGAACCTCACCAATATTTTAAAAAATAAAAATATATAAAAATACGACTTTTGATGGTGAGAGTAGAAGATAAAAAAAGACGTCCTGCGACATAAGACAATCATTTCACTTTATTTATAGCAAAGACATTTTATCGTAAAAGAAATGCTTCTTTTGGAAACGTGTTTTCAATCATGATACTTCTTTTCTAGTCCATTTCTCTAGTGAAAAGGAGGAAAAAAAAATACTTGAAGCTCTTAAGTCCAAACATAGATGTTTTTCTTCTAGTTTTCTAGTTTTGCTTTTTAGTTTGGTGTGACCAAGGAAATGATGCCTTTGCATAATTGCGTACGTGAAAGTTCTATGATCTAAGTCCAAACATAGACTGGGCTTGAACCATAATTTTGCTCCCTAATATCACTTATATTTAGGTTTAGGGTAAGTTCGGAATGATCCTCTGATCTTCTCCTGATTTTGTCACAAGAAATATTTATGTCTTTTTTATATATTTAAACAAATTTTGATTTAATTTCACCTATTTAATATCTATTAAAAAAAGAAAATATAAAATGTTCTCATAACAAATTCTCCAATTAACTAGCTGAAACTCCAATATGATTTTGCAACTAACTCTAGGGACAAAAGTGTAAGAATCAATTGTGAATTTAACTTATCGTAAAATTAGTGATTTTGACTATATTGTAGTATATATTTTTTTAGGATAGGTTATTCTACCTTTTTTTTTTGCTTAGATATACATTGACTGATTACTTCCTTTAAAGGCCAATCATCCACGTTGAAACCAGACAATTCATAATGATCTGGACCTGATATATATGAAATAAAGGCCTAACGGCCATATTTTAACCCTAAAGGAACTAAGGCCATCCCATGTATAAATCGTGGGTATCTCACCAGTTTGGTTGACAAGCCAAAAGTAACTTAGCTAGAAAAGAAACATCATTGCCGAGATCAGCAACTCAGGGCAACTTAACCTCCACATGAACCGAATGAATGAATAATAGCACCAGCTTGCCGCAACGTCTATTAAGGCTAGCTTGACTATAAGCTTTTCGCCCAAGGAATAACCTAAAAAAGGTCACCATTCTTCATTAATTGGAATTGACACCACTATTTGAAAGGCTACATGAAGCAAAGCACCCTCACTATAAATAGAGAGGCATTCAGCCCTAGTAAGATCATCTATTCTTAAATACTTGAACTATATTGAATATTGAACTGATTTGAGCATAATGCCTTGCAAGTACCCTCAGTTTCCTCAAATTGTTCGTATTTCAGGTGACCCAGATCAACCATCTCGTCAAGCTTACCCATTAGTAACGCTTCTCTTTATCAACATCATTTACCTTCAACCGTGTGTGATCAAACCAGTCCAATATTTGTTGGGCCAATTACATAAATAAATAAAGGGAAATAAAAGTATAATGTTATAAGAAAGTGTGTAGGTTATGTTATAGAGATAGAGATTGTGGGACCCACTTTTTTTTTTTTTTTTTTGGTTTTTGAAAACAAGTGTGGGTCCCACAATTTCTATCTCCATAACATAACCTAAACATTTTCCTACAAAATTATTCTTCTTATTCCCATAAATAAAAGCTTCTATGACTGGTTTAGTGGTAATAAAAATTTAGCAATCTATGCTTTCTTTTAAGTTACTTGTTGTCCATTAATTATATATACAATTTTTTGTGCGGTGTTGTACCTAATTTCTTAGCAAATCAGCTGCATCCTTAGATATCACTTCCATTTAGATTGTGTGGTATGAATTTTATTTAATAGGACTTAGATTTGGAAGAAGTTCAAGAATTTAAAGATTAATCATGCTCTATAAACCAAGAGTGAGTTGACTTCTAAGGAACAAAGCAAAATGCCTTAACAATAATGTCTCAGTGAGATGTATTGTACATTTAAGATAGGAGAAAAACATGAAGATTATTGATTCACAGAGTTGGAGCCCTCTCAGCAGTCCCAGCAATGACAGTGAGCAAGTTGTTGCCAAAAGGGTCACTAAGATGTTTTGCAAGGTTCTCAACAGGACCTTCTCCAGTTACATAAGCTTGGATAAAGAAACCAAGCATGGCAAACATAGCAAGTCTACCATTCTTAATTTCCTTCACCTTTAACAATGCAGCCTGGTCTGGATCATTTGCTAGCCCCAATGGGTCAAATGGACCACCTGGATGAAGCTTGTCTTCAAGATCCTGTCACAATAAGTAAATCAAATTAAGTTCTGTTATATATTCTTTTCAACTTTATAAACATAGTGGTAATATGCATTACCAGATGTACTTAATTCAGAAATAAACCAACCAGTAATAAGATGGTTTATTCAAATAAACAATAAACTTTGTTTAGTAATAATCCTTATGGATGTAAGAAAGGTTGAGACAAATGCATTAACAATAAATCACTCCCCATTATATCCCGGGCAGGGGTGAATCCTTGTATGCAGCCTTATATGCAAGTCTTATCTTTGCATATTTGCAACGATGATGGTTACGGATTCGAATCTGTGACTTTTCAGTCATAAAGGAGCATATTTACAACTACTCCAAGCTCGCCTTCTTTAGACAAATGTATTACCAATGTCTGAAAATAAATATTCAAAATTGAAAATTTTACATACCAGGCCATTAATAATTCTGTAGTACTCTGCACCTCCCAAAAGAACAACCTCAGCAACGACAGCAACAATAAGATTGATGGGGATGGGTTTACCAAAGTAGTTCAATGTACCCCCATCAAGAAGCAAAGCTCCGGTCTGCATCAATTCCATGAAGAAAATTGAACTGGCTTAATGTCAACAATACAATCACAAATTTTCAATAAAGGGAATTTTGAAATATGCTATATTGCCACGGGAAAACTCCAAAGATTGAAGGTAGGTAGTTACTCTAATGAAAATAATATTAGATTATTTGCAGAATAATCAAGACTATGGTTAACGCTGAAAACTGAAAATTAAAGATGAAATGGGTAAATATAAAGGAAACATACATTATAGTCTATTGAATTTGCACTAGAATGATCATTTACACAAAATAGAGCTTGCAAACCTTGAACCAAACAGCCTCAGGACCACAGTTTGCTCCAAATTTGTTGAAGGCCTCAGGAATGATGAATCCAGCAGCACCAAGCATTGCCCATCTGGCATGAATCAACTCATATGCCTGATATCTGCATTAAACCACCAATCACCCATCACTAACATTACCAAACAATTAAAGTAACATAATAATTCATATATAGATATCTAGTTTGTGAGTGTTAAGCATACTTGGCAAAGTTCTCAGGGTTCTTGCTAAGACCAAAAGGGTCATAACCATAGCTGCATGGACACACAAATAACATTAGCATATTAAGTAAAACAAGAAGCAAAGTTTCATAAACACAATGTGAATTAAAGGAGAAGTCACATACTCTCCTGGGACTTCTCCTGTCAAGTACTCTGGGATCTCAGCTCGGTCCAAGAGACCTTCTGGCAAGAAGATCCTTCTGTCAGGACCTGCCACCAAATGGAAGCAAAAGTTTAGCAACTAGTTTTTTCTACCTTCAATTACATAATTAGAAGAACACACTAGCACAGGTTGTACTTAACACACACACACAACTTGATACTTACCATACCACTTGGCTAGTTCCTCATTTGAAGAAGAGACAGCAACAGGTTTCTGCTTTGGAGGTGGTGCTGCCTTTTTTCTAGAGAAAAGAGCCACAGTTTTGAAGGTGGAAGGGGTAGAGGGAGATGGGGCTGACCTGGTTGCACCACCAAAGTTGATGGGGTTTCCAAGCATTTCAGACATGCCAAGGGAAGCCATGTTTTGGAAGCCTCAGAAACTCAGGTGAATGTGGTGCTTACTGCTGATTGATGAGGAGTAGTATGAACTACGAAGAATGGAGAAGATACTAATATGCATGTTCTGGTGGATGTGGATGTGGACGTGCCACGTTAGATTCATGATCAAGGGGTTTGATTGGTCTATATGGGAGAAGTGTAATCCAATGCAAGGATTTGATTGGTTAATATCTGATACATGGAAGATGATGGTGCTGATGTGGGTAGCTCCTTAGCTTGAGCTTGGATAACATGTTTTATCTTACCTCTAGTACTTTTTTTTCTATCATTTCCTTTACCTACATTACATGGCCACATTAAGATTCATTAGAGGCTTTTGTTTTTTTGTAGTTTTCTTCAGATTCAATAGAAATAATGGTGACCACATAATTGTAGTAACACTCACATGAGTTACAGTAGTAGTGAAAAGAATTTGTTTTCTTTTGGGACCATTGTGTGGTTTGTATTGCGAAATAAAAATTTCAACGAGTCATAGATGGACCACCTAACTCCACAGATAAAGATATTAGAAAGACACAAGAGTTGCTTGCAACTTGAGCTGCCATTACATCTCCCAATTTGAACTTGGTAGCACCGCACATGGTTTTTTCTAGACATTTGCAGCACCGTTGTTTCTACTTCCAAGTTGATAATAAAAACATTATTTATTAAATGCACTCTTTTGTTGGATATAAAAATAAATTATGCAATCAAATATTTTTTTTTTCTCCGAAACTCTTCCTAAGCATAAAAAGGAGTATTTTTTTTCCTAAAAAAAATGTAAGAGATAAAAATCATTGTCATGCACATCTATACTTGAATTCAATTATTGATTTCCTAAAATATTTGCGAGCATTGTGAAGAACCTTGGGATACACCACCCCAAAAGCTAGCTCAAAAGGTGAGAGTGCCCAAGGTCTTATAAACTTCACATTAGTTGCTCATACAACCAATGTAGGACTATATATATCAACACGTCCCCTCACACGAGAGCCTATTAGGCTTGAAGAGTGGACAATGCAACAAGCCCAGCCTACCTGTGCTAAGAAACGCCACAAGAGAAAGTGGGGGCGGCGAGGCTCTGATACCATGTGAAGAACCTTGGGATACACCACCCCAAAAGCTAGCTCAAAGGGTGGAAGTGCCCAAGGCCTTATAAACTCCACATTAGTTGCACATACAACCAATGTGGGACTATATATCTCAACAAGCATGTTAAAGTTTGTTAAAACTTCTAAAAATAAAAAATTCTCACACAATGTAGCCTTTCTCCAATTTTGATAGTAGAAGGCTCCTCTCTAGATTTACTGGAAATTGACCAAATTCATGATAATTAGCTTACAAGCCCTCACTGGTTACTTCACAAAATTCTGGCATTCAGATAATTCGTACCACAGTTAAACAATGGTGGAACTCAATTTCATTGAAGGGCCAATATATCATAGCTGAATATTAATATGAAATTTTAGTATCTCATGTACTGCTACAGGTCTAAACATCCTGAATTTGCCATGATTTAGTCAATACATAGAAAACACTGGCAAAGAGATCTTAGTTTATACAAATGTACGTAAAAGAATTAATGGACTCTTCCATCATCTTCTCCACTTGTCAATTTCTCTTGATGTTGCCCTGATAAGCTTTTTAGTATTAATGACAATGTCATCCACAACTGCAGTAATATCATCCCTGAAAACAACACGCAGGATATTTAAATTACGTTAAAAATGAGATGAAATTTGAAACCAGTCACAGAACAATTTCAGATATTAAAAAAACTTTCACGCCATAAGATCTTTGCAGCTATAGTATCTGAAGATTAATGAACAGAGTCCATTATTTCCACTGGAGGTGATAATTTTCAACACAACTCGCTCCATTTTCAAATTCGTGTTGGCAAAATTTAACAAGAAAAATTTGTGTCATATTATATATCAGGTCAGGGTCGGCCTGGCTCAGCGGTAAGCTTGCTTACTGAGGTGTTCCAGGTCAGGGATTCGACTCGGCTTCCCTGCAAAGCAGGGGTGAGGCTTGACTCAAATTTCCCTTCCCCAGACACTCACGGAGTGGGTCGTGAACTGGGTCGGCCTTTTATTATATATCAGCCCGCAAACATGAAATTGATTTGTGTTAATATATTTACAGGTTATTTGTTTTGTGTTGTATAGTGTTGTGCCATATTATATCAACCCACATAATAAGCAACACAATTTGAGGTTAGCAAATTATTTGTGCAATGTCAACTCAAAAAATACGCCGGTTGTGTTCGTGTTGAAAGTTTTGGGCCATTTTCAAATTCATATCGTGTTCGTGTTGAGTATATTCATGTTCGTATCGTATCAACTTGAATTGCCACCCCTATTATCCACACTCCCTTGCAAAGTGTCATCCTTTTATTTATTTATAAAATTGGTGAGGTGCAATCATGTATCAAACAATTTTTTTCTTTTCTTTTCGAAGAAGCATATGTCTAATCATATGAAGCAACAAAACTAAAGAATTCATACTCATTAAACAGAAAGGTTGCAAACTTTTCATATTACCAAAATTCTTTATGAAAAGTGGGGCCTCAGTCTCATAGTCCTTCTTCAAAATGCACCAAAACCTGCTTTCAGGTTCTGGTGTTTGGTACACTATATCTGTTGATGGAATTAACAGTCTTTGATATGCTAAGAGTTTTTAGTATTCTAATTATCTAATTTATCACAAAATTTCATGCCATGTTTTATTCTCCAAAGAGTTTAAATCACCAGGTCCTTGAATTTTCTCAATGTTTTGTTCTTTTCATTTCCAGTTTTTCTTTTCCATTTCTCCTTTGTAATTTGCTACCTCTGCTAGTGTCATTGATTGATACAGTAAGCTTAATACAAAGCATTCCTCAGTTTTCTATCTCCATTGCAAGATATGTCAATTTCAGTACTTAAAAAAGGCATAAAAAATAAGGATATTAATAGGCAGTTTACTTACTCAGAAATAATGCTTCCAGAACCACGAAAAGGATTTCCAACATTAGAGTACCTCTTGTTCTCATCTTGTGCAATTCCCTTCCCCATACCATAGCCAAATCCTAAACCAACACCACAACCAGCACCAAATCCAAAACCCACTTGCAAGCCAGGAATTCCAGGGCCAAAACCCACTCCTGGAGTCAGAAAAGTATATTTCATGAAATTTTATGAAGCATCAAACAATGCAGGAAAGATGTTCGAATCGAACTTATAGGCATGACCAAGATCAGCAACACATGCTACAATAGAGTAAGCAATGATCCCAATTATTAGTAGCAGCATCAGAAAAGGTCTCAAGCTACAAGCCTACAGCCATGTGGAAGCGAAATCAAGAGCAAGATTAAAACAAGAAGCTGAAAAGTAGCACATCACATCTCACTGTTAAACTATTTAGATTTTAGATATATTTTCACCAATTACACATAGGAATGAACTTCCATTTTTCAAACTCCAAAGATCACAAAATTTTGTCAGAAGGCATAAAGCAAAGTAAGGATTTCAACAATTTATTTTATTTTATTTTATTTTTTTTAAAAAAAAACTTTAATTGATGAAATTCATTTTCATGGTTGTATATATCTGGTTAGACAATAAGTTCAAACAGTCTACATCCCTGGTCCCCCTCATGTCAACAATAAAGCACCAAAATTTACCTAAATCCAGCAAAGCTCTCTCAAGGAAATTTAACAGATACTACTACCAAAAGAGGACTTGGAGCAAGATTTTACAAACTGTGGTTTACCAGTGATTTGACTACCTTAAAGTTTGACATTTAGTCAAAAAAAAATTGAATAAAAAAAATACTATTAAGCCCAAATAGAAGGGAGCAAAAGCACCCCCCAAAAAAAGAAGAAGAAGAAGGGAGCAAAACCCCAAAAGACAGTAAAACAAACAATCATATTGTGAAACTGAGCATTTGGGGTAGTACCCCTTTTCATTCATTTGTAGCTCACAACAATTTATTAGCCGCGCCATTGATTTCCAAAATATGGTAACCCCATTTCAAGACCCAAAAACAAAACCACCATCGTTCTTCCTTTTTCTATCAGTTCATCACTCAAACTTCTCTCTCCATAAGTCCTTTCTCTACACTGTCTTCACTCCATTACTTTGTCAACAACCGTAAGACAAAAATACTGCATCTTAATCTAAAACACCACAAGTCACCTGCAGCTCAATGGATTTTGACATTTCTATTTATTCAATCCATAAACATGAATTTCACTGACAAATAAAGGTCAATAATCTTACTGTTCTTTTCCTTATTTTTTAGTGGAGAAGGGTTTATTATGTTAAATTTGCACATAAACTTTCCCATACCAGGAAACCATCTTGTTCTTTCAATATAAAAGCTCATATACCTTAACTTTTTTACATGATCTCATAATTTTCACAACTTACAAAATTAAAAAAAAAAAAAAAAAAGTAACCCCAAAGAAAAACTTTAACAAGAAGTGAGGGTCATAACTACAAAATGATCTAAAATCGACATTTATGCATAAAGGAAGACAAATATATGTAATGCCCACAATGATCATGAGAGCACAGAACATAAGCATTATCTCGAAAGCCTGCATTTAAGGTCTCCATTTTTCCATGGCAAAGACTTATATAATTTCCAGTACAAGAGTCCTCACAAAATTCTCCTAACACTACGTAACATGCATCATCAATACTCAAAAAAAGTCAAGCACCCCATCAAGCAATAAGTGTGTGTATATCAATTTAGGTAGAAATTTTACAAGAAGACCCAAAAATTAATGAGAAAAACTATGAATCTATGAGACCAACAACGCATTTTAATTGCCTATTGATTCATCTCCAATACACCCCATTTGCTAGTAATTCAACTACTTGTCTCTCTTTGCTTTCAGTGGAGCTATCACAACCAAAGCATCAAACTTTTTAACTCCATGCACAAAACAACACATACCCCATATCCAAAATCAATTGAAAAATTGAAACTTTAATTGATTATTACAAACTTGGGTGGAAAAAGAATGTACCCCCGAGAAGGCCAACGCCGAAGCCGACGCCGCAGCCAGCGCCGATGCCGAAGGCGGGACCCACCTTGCCGAAATCGTTGGACTTCACCACTGGAAGCTTCCACAGCAAACCCTTATCCTCATCGTTGCTCATCTTTTTCTCAAATTCTCTCTGATTTGCAACACAGAATCAGAGATTTTTAAACAAACACTCGATTGGTCTGGTTTGGACACTGCCCACACCAACCGCTCTCACCACGAAGTCAAAAACATGAATTTGAATTTGAAATCACAAGAAAAGATATTCCAGTGAGTTCAATTATATTTACTCCTTCAATTTCGTGATTTTGTCGTATCCGATACTTTTTCCATTAATTAATGTGAATAATATTACTTTAAGAAAGAATTATTATTTCTCTAGGAGATCATTTTTTCTATAAGTATATATGTGAATCTATATTAAAAGATGAGAAGTGGAGAAATAAAAGAAAATATGGATCAGAGAGATAAAAAAAAATATAAGCCCATATAAGAGAAAAATGTTTGTTGTTTTAAAGGATTTGGTGTTTGTTATTTTAAATGATATAAGTTATGTCATTTTAGGAGAGAGATAGACACTAAAAAATGAAAATCATAGGAGAGAGAAAGTAGGTAATTTTTTTTAATTTAAAATTTAAATAAAAACTTTTTTCTGTGTCTGTCTCTCTCTTAAAAGGACAAAGTGTTATGTCATTCAAAATCACAAACACTTTTTTCCATTTTAAATGACATAAAATTATGTCATTTTAAGAGAGAGACAGACACAGAAATTTTTTTTTATTTAAATTTTAAATTAAAAAATCACTCACTTTTTCTCTTCTATGATTTCCATTTTTCTGTATCTATCTCTCATCTAAAATAAAATAACTTATATGATTTAAAATAACAAACAACAAATCCATATTTTTGGAATAAAGTCTCTAAAGTGACTTTAGAGTGTTCTTGAAACGACACCAATTTTGCTCTCTCTTTTTTTTTTTTTTACTTACAAGAAGTTTTTTGCAAGTTCAGCATCACCCTTCTTTCTCACGTGAAATAAAATTTTATGTAAGTGTCTCTGGTTTCAAGGCATTCCTTTCACACTCTTCTGAAACAAAACAAAATGCTCTGATATCCATTTCGCAACAATAGTGGCTAAAGCCCTAACCGTGAAACTGTTTTAACCAATCTTCGCAATCGCCAATCGCCATGAGCCACGATGTCGATCATCATATGACGGAGCTTTCAGGTTTATCCCTACGCATTTCCTCGGACAATGACTCTCACTTCTACTACAACTTCGCCGAATTCAAACGCCCAATCGAAGAAATCGCGAGGAAAATGCACTCCATGCTTAATAAAATTGGCTCCTCCGAGCATATTTGGGGCAGAGGTGCGGCTTTTTCTGTTGAATTTGCATATGTACTGTAGTCTGTGGTCATGTTGTTTTGTTGATTTTATTTGGTTCTTCAGACACAACAAGTAAATAAATTGTCCTATGAGATAAGAAGCTCTTGTTTCAGCTAAAATATTGGGCTTGACATTTGAGAATGACATTAGTTAAACTCTATTGCTTCCCTTTGATACCTAATATTTTGACTAGCCTTTTCAATCAAGAGGAGATACAATGCAAGTTGAATGGGGTATTTCTTAGTATTCCTCAAGTTCAAAGCATTTATGCAGAATTTTTTTATAAGTTGACTTTATATGTTTTGCAGTAGAGATCTACAATTCTACATCTCTTACGTGTGTGCTAACGAAAATCTTTCTTAATTTTGCTTATGTGAGTTTCACATGAAAACCAATATGTGAATTGTGCCCAAATGGTTCTCATTGGTCTGGTTTATTCTGCCTTCACCTCTTCCACTGTTTACTCACTTGTGATTTATGTTTTTTCAGTAGTTTTATTAATTCAACTAGATTCATACCCACTTTGTGTGACACACATAAGAGACTAATTTTTGTTGCAAGACTAATTTTTCACTGAGAATCCTGAATTATTGTGGTAGATTTATATCATATCCACATAATAATATCTCTCTGTATATCATATGTCATTTATTCTTAAGCATTTATTTTTGCATATCCTGATAAAAATTCTAAACCTAATTAACAAACATATTTGTTTCTTATCATATTCCTTTGGTCTTCTCATTCAAATTTTACTTCATCAAACATTTTTACTAAATATGAAATTACCACTTGTAAAATATATTCTTTTTCTTCTAACTTTGTATCTAAATCTAAATATAGTTATATTACTTGTCTTAAATGAAATTGTTAGTATTGACTTGTTAAATGAAACAAACGGAAAGAGTAAAAAAAGTGAAAGGAAGGATATGTATTTTGATCTCGTAGACCATGACAAAGTGAGGAGGTTCAGTGTAAAAAATCAGATTTCTTTTAACCTTTTCAAGGTATCATCATTAATCACACTATTCGCTCTCCTGATAAAAGTGCTTTGACCTGGCAGGCATGCTATGACAATTATTGTTGTTTCTCTTCTATCTGCTCTGTTCTCACTCTCAGCGTATATATTTCATTTTAAAATGTTGATTTTTCCTTGAAAATTTTGAATGCAGTACAAATTTGGCTAGCTTCTGCCATCTTTGGCTAGCTGTTTTATATTTCTTAAAAATGAATAAAAAAAATGTAACCTGTATAAATATTTTTTTTTTTTTTTGGAAACAAAAGGAAAGTAAAAGACAAGACAGCAAAACTAAAACACACTAGGCACAAGCCTAGGCCAGTGAACTCCTATTTGGTCAGGCGGTGCAAACAACCAGACGGAGGATTATCAAACAACTGGATAGGCCAAGAAAAATTGCTAGCATACGCAGCCAGCCAGTCCGCCACACCATTACCCTCACGGTGGATGTGTGAGATCTTAATATTCCAATCTTTGGCAAGCTGTATCCTGATACGAAGAATCAAACCATACGAAGGATGGGATGAACTGCACTCCCTCAAAATGAGCTGCTGAGCTAATTGAGAATCCCCTTCCAGCCAAACTTTTCTAAATCCTTTGAACCAAGCAACCTCCAAACCTACAAGGATCGCCCAAAGCTCTGCATTCAAAGCCGTTCCACTTCCCAAATTTTTACAGAATCCCGTTATCCAGTCCCCGGAGCTATCTCGAAGAACTCCCCCACAGCCAGAACTAAAACCATTAGCAGAGCTGGCCCCGTCGACGTTAATCTTAATCCAATCCAAAGGTGGAAAAGTCCAAACTATTAGACTCTCCCTTTTGCTACGCTGGTTGACTCCCGTTACTGATAGCATCTCCCTGGCCAACAAAACGCTATCCTTATAACCCAAGGCTGCTCGTGCGATGCCCTCTGCATTATTCTTTGTACCATTAAAAACCAGGTCGTTCCTAGAACGCCACAAAAACCAAGCAGTGATCCCAAAGAGAAGCTGCCAATGGGGATCGCTACTCCAAGGTTTAGTTTAAACGACATTATGCACAATCCAGTTATGAATATTCAACTCCGAAAACTCTTGCCAGAATTTACGATCCACCAATAGCCGCCAAGTATCCATGGAGACGCTGCAATCTCTAATGGCATGAAGGGTAGTTTCACGAGCACACTGGCACCTCGGGCAAAAATCAGTCTCAGACATTCTGCGCTGGAGCCTCCTAGAATTAGTCATGAGTTTATCCCCCATCATAAGCCAAAGAAAAGTTTTGATCCTCTCAGGACCATCCCATCCCCAAATATAATCCCAAGGGATGGTGTTATCGGTGCCTTCATTATTATGCAATGTCTTGTAAGCGCTCCTAACAGAAAAAACACCATCGGATGATTCTCCCCAAATAACACAATCCTGGGCATCCATCGAGAGAGGGGGAATTATGTTCATGATTCTCCTGATGATTTGGTCTGGAATAAGATGCTGAAAGGATGCCCAAATCCAATGGCCATCTTTGTTAACGTAATCAGCAACACGAAGATCTGCTGCATCGGTAGGGACTTGGATTGAAGGATTCTCTAGGAGACGACCACAACCAGGAAGCCAAGGGTCAGACCAAAAATGGGTTCTCTCACCATTACCAAGAACTATACGACTGTTATTAAGAATGAGAGGCCATCGTTGAGCAATTCCTTTCCAAAGAGCAGAACTATGGTTAGGAACACTGATTTCCGGTAACAAGCTCGCGTCCATTTTATACTTACCCCTGAGAAACTGCACCCACAAAGCATCAGACTTAGTGAGAAGGCTATGTCCCAGCTTCATGATGAAAGCTGTATTCATGTCTCTAATTGATCTTAGCCCTAGACCGCCCTGATGTTTGTTGCGGCAAACTTGACTCCAGGCTACAACATGAGGTCTTCTATTAGAACTTGATGAACCCCAAACAAAAGCCCGAATTTGTCTTTCAATATCATTACACACACTGATAGAGATAAGGAAGAATGACTCCAAGAATTCAGTCGAGATTGTAAGCGGTCTAAGATATAATTGAAAGAAGCTCTCCCACCGCGTGAGCACTGTAAAGGAATGCCCAAGTAGCGGCCCAGATCAGATGTCATTGAGTAACCCATTTGGCGGCTCAGTTCAAAAGCTCTAGTATGACTGACATTTCGAGAGAAAAATATTCTAGTCTTCCCATGGTTCACCCGCTGGCCAGAAGATGCACTAAATAAATCCATCACGTACTGAATAGTAGCAGCTTGACTCCTGGGTAGCCTCTGCAAAAAGAAGAAGATCGTCTGCAAAAAATAAATGAGAGATTGGAGGAGCCCCCTTCTTTATAATAATAGGCTTCCAACTTTTATTCCCCACACAAGTGGTAATAAGATGCGCTAGTCTCTCCACACAAAGGACAAAGAGATAGGGGGATAAAGGGTCCCCTTGTCTAAGCCCTCTACTAGGATAAAACTCCTCAGTAGTCTTCCCATTCCAAAGTACGTTCATCGAACAAGATGTTGTGCACCACATAATTAAACTGATAACATGAGGAGGGAAGCCTGCGTCCTTAAGGGTATCCTTGAGAAAATCCCAACTAATCATGTCATATGCCTTTTCCAGGTCCACTTTGATAGCCATCCATCCTTTCGCACCACGCTTACAACGCATGGAATGAATCAACTCTTGTGCAATGATGACATTATCAGTACCTTGCCGACCTTTGATGAAGCTACATTGATTGGGCATTACAAGCCTTTCCATCTGCAATTTCAAACGGTTAGCAAGAAGCTTAGTCATAATTTTATAAATAACATTACATAAGCTGATTGGACGAAAGTCCCTAAAGGATTGAGGAACATCCACTTTAGGGATCAAGCAAAGCAGAGTTTGATTAACATCATGAATGCGATGGGGGTTATTGAAAGCTTCACAAATGAAAGAGCAGACTGAATCTCCCACGACGTTCCATTGAGATTGGAAGAACAAACTGTGAAGACCATCAAATCCAGGAGCTTTATACGGTCCCATTGCAAACACAATGTCCTTAATTTCCTTAGTAGACGGTTGCCTTCCTAGAGATTGGAGGTCCCTTTGGTGGAATTGAGGGAACCTGTTTCTGATAGGGAAGACTGGTCGCACAATAGCTTCTTCCTTGTAAAGATTCTTATAAAAATCCACGGGCATGGACGTAAGACACGAAGGGTCCCCCACCCAAACACCATCATCATTCATCAAAGCATCAATGCGATTTCTTCTACGTCTGATGATTGTGGAAGAATGGAAAAATTTTGAATTTCTATCCCCATAGATAAGCCAATTAGCACGGGACCTTTGGAACCAAGTGAGTTCCTCTCTAAGGTAAATAAGATTAAGCTGGCGCCATAACTCCTTTTGGAGAGTTTCAAGAGCGCCATAACTCCTTTTGGAGAGTTTCAAGAGCATGGGAATTCTGATGATTACGGCTACGGTCAATCCCACTAATACGAGCATGAAGATCCCTTTTTTTCTTGGCTTCCGCTCGAAAACATTCCTGGTGCCAATTTGATGCTTTATTACGGAAGAGGACACTGGATCGAATCCACTCTCTCCCCTCATGCCAAGAATCAGCAACTAAGTCAGGAAACTTTTCATGAGTAAGCCAAGCAGCCATGAACCTAAATGGACGGTTACCATTCAGATTATAAGGAGGCTGACCATCCCAAAGAAGAATAGGACGATGATCAGAACAAAAGAATGGTAAATGAGACACCACTCTATGAGAAAAAGATAAGTTCCAAGCTTTCATTAGCACATGCACGATACAATCGTTCAGCAAGTTTGCCCCTGCGCCAAGTCATTAATGGACCTTGGTGACCAAGATCAGTCAAGCGACAAGACAATAGACAATCTTGAAAATCAAGCATACTCCTCCAATTAGGAATGTTGCCTCCGTCTTTCTCCGAAGCATTCAAATAGGAATTAAAATCTCCCATGATACACCAAGCCTGGTCATGAAGCGGTTGAATGGACTCCAGAGATTCCCAAAGAAGAATGGGCTCCTGACGACGAGGGCTACCATAACAAAAGGTAAAAAACTCTTCTTTTTTCCCTTCCAACCTGTTTAGTCTAGAATGGACGTATTGGTGATTGGCTTGAAGAACCTGCAGTTGAACATCTGAGGAATTCCATTCCATAAGAGCTAAATACCTCCTGAAAAACCAATTGGGTCACAAAGAAAATAGTGAGAAAATCCTATAGATTTGGCCACTCTCCTAGCTCGATCCCCCGCAATACGGGTCTCAAGGAGGGCCAGAATACTTATATTAAAACGGGAAATTAAATCTCTAATTAGGGGGGAGAAACCTTTTTTTCCAGCCCCTCTACAATTTCAAGTTACAATATTCATAAAAAAAACAAAATACAAAATACAAAAACAAAGAATGATGAAAGCAAATTCAGGTTCATCATTATTGTGTGATATCATCACTATTCTTCTCTCCCAAAGAGGACTCCTTCAATAACAAGGTGTTACTATTATCAACATTTGGTGATTCCAACATTATAGACCCTCGTGAATGTTCGTCATGAGAGGCATGAACATCACCTGAAGAGCTTGGAATGGAAGATGCACACTCAATATTATGATCCGGCGGTCTAGATAGATCACCAAGGATTTTTGACATAGTAGCCTTTATAGTAATAGGAGATTTACTTCTAGCCCCCTCCATCCCCAAAATCGAATTAGCCTTCAAAGATTTAGCAATAGAATTGACTTTGGAGGATTGCTTAAAACTCTTAGAAGCCACCGAGAGACCAGCTTGTTTTTTCCAACGATCGTGTAACTCCCTGGACCCTTTCAGCCCCTCATTCTTTTCCTTATGCATTATAGAAGCACGTTGAACCTTTGTTGGCTTAAAAATTTGAAACTGATTGTCCACTGAATTAATGCACTGATTCCCATCCTTTTTTTGCTTAATAACAGCATTTTCACGTCCCAGAATTTGGGCTTCTGTTTGCATTTGAATTGGGACCTGATTATCTGCAGACATAATTAATCGCCTCCCATCATCTTGTAATACAGCAGCTGTGATTTTATCCTCCACCTGCGGAATCTTTGTTGGCACCTGATTTTGACTTATGTTACCTGCTAAATTAATAGGTAAACTTCCATCTTTTTTATTTTTGACAGCTGTATTTTTAACTTCTACGTGCTGTTTTGAATTAGAGGTTTTGGATTTAGGATTAAATGCAATCCTAACTCCTTTTTTTCCTTTATTGGCGGTGGCATCATGTTGACCTTGTTGATTATCATTGATCATAACCGCATTCCTTGTCGAAACGGTACCTGATGCCTTGATTAGCAATTATTGTAAATCTTGATTCTTAAACTCCTCCAACGGCTGCATTAGTTTTCCTAGTTGGGCCCACTCTTTTATTGCTTGTTAATTCCTGCCCAACGGAAACATTTGAATGATTTGAATGGGGAATTTCCGTTTTGGATTCTGTAACCGCGGCATTTATTGCAGCATTAGTTTTGGCCGGGACCGCTTTCGATCTTCCGCTGCGATTGTTCCGCTGAACGACCATCCAAGGTCCGAAGGCATCTCCGTTAGCTGTAACTTTCTGCTTATTCACCTCAGGAGTTACTGTTGGAATATGGTTGGAAGGAACGTTCTGGTCAATCAAAGGCGAAGTGCTGGAAAAGATAGGACATACGTCTTGTCTATGACCAAATTTCCCGCAAGCGAAACATATTTGGTGTAAACCTTCATAGCCCACCGGAAAAATTCGGTTACCTATTCTGAATTTAGATAGAAAGCCTTTGCTTAGATCAACCTCAATACAGATGCGAGCAAATTTTGCTCGATCAGTGAATTCACCTTCTCCTAATTCATCCTTGCGAATCGAGTTCCTATCTATCTTCAGAGTTCGACCAAACAGGTTCCCAATATTCCAAAGATGATTTGTTGTGTAAAATTCTATTGGGAGACCAGGAATTCTTATCCATACAGCTAGTTTCTTAACATTATCGTCATGAGGATCAAAGAATGGCCGCCAACGTTGCACCACTACATAGTGGTTAGCCACTATCCAAGGACCTTCCTGTAAGACAAAATTAAAGTCTTCAGAATTTGAGAATCGAAACAAGAAGTAGTCATTCTCTAGGTCAATAAAATCATAGGATCCCGAAAGATTCCACATTTTAAGAAGCCTATTCATGAGGAATTTAACCCCAACCCTTTTCCCCAGTAATTTTACTATTACTGATTGCCTCCATTGTTTGCAACTTTCCTTGTGAACCTCCTTCCCAAACCGATAAATTGGGCATAATGGATCATCAGAGCGCATCTCTTCTACACACACCTCCATCTCCATCGCTTCTTCTTCGTCTTCAAGCCGCAATTTTTCAAAACAGTCAATCTCGTCGCCTTCCATCATTCCGCCTCCCCCATTTAGGTGCAATAGAGTATCTCTGTAGGATGCAACCTTCTGGTGAGAAACCCCTGCTATCACACTCCCATTGTCTACGAGCTTGCCCTTCTCCACACTACGTTTCAGCAGATCTGCTTCCTCCGTCGAAATCTCCTTCCCAACCTCCGATGAAATCTCACTTGCGTTGGAAATTGACATTGTATCTTCTTTCAAAGCCAAACCAAAAGTCATACTAAATGTTTTGGATCCTGTAGCTTGTTATAGTTATGCTAGTGGGGTGCTCAATTTTTGGTGATTCATTTCTGCTTGCAGTTGGTGCTTAATTTTGAGATCCATCAGTTTCTCTATTATCCGAAGTTGTACTACATTTTTTCTCAATCTGATTCACATTGCAGGTTGGACAATTGATAGGGGAATCAAACAATGTCCACAATGCAGAACTAAAATTGTTTTTGGAAGTGGAGCTTGGGCTGGTAACATTTGTATTAATGTGGATGTTGTATACTTCTTCGATATCATGATATACTCATTCCCAAACTCAGAAATGTTGACAAACTACATTATTAATTAGGATTTACGACCCATTGCACCTCCTCACAAGAAAAAGGATGATGTTTTAATATTCTTCAAGTTATATGATCCAGAAACAGAGGAGCTACGGTATTGAGTATTCAGTTTACTATGCATTGATGAAATGCATACAATTATAGTTCTTAACACTCTGCATCATCTAAACTATGATCTATAATTTCAAATGAGGATAAGTTTCCATTAATAGAAAGGAGAGGCTGATCATATATAGAGTCTCCAAATTGATAGTGTGTGTATTCCTTTTTGCAGGATGTTGCTGCATCAGCCAGAAAAGCTGACCAGGAAACATGCTAAGGATATTGCAATAGGAACAATCCAAATGAAAGGCATGAAAGTAATCAACATGGAAGATCCTTTATAAGAAGGCTTTCACATAGACTTCAAGGAACACTACGAGTAGGAAGAGTCATTAAAGGATATTGTGTATGAGTTGTAACTTGGATTTTAGTAGTCATTATAGGATATCTATGTCCAATGTAATTTGAAACCATGTACATAATTATTCAATGTGAGTGATTCATCACATGTGTTTGTTTTATAATTTTTTTCTTTTGTACTACTTTTTGACAAATTTAAAATAATATATAATTCATATCAATCAGAGTTATATAGCTCAAAATATGTGCATGGAAAGTTTGCAGTTTTGCTGTCAAATTTTCAGCAAAACAGTTTGCTACAACTAATTACTGGGAACATTACATACATCAAAATAATATAAAACTTTCCAGAAATAAATTCCAATGCAACTGGTTTCATTCAAAAAGGATATCTATACTCAACTTTACAAGATATCTTTACAATGCAACTTTACAAACACCAAAATAATTTTTTCTCTTCTATAGCTGCTACAGCTTCCAATCTCTTATACAAAAATCTGCAATGTCATCAGGGGCAACTTTCTAATGAAACTATTATTCTTTTTGCTTCTCTCTTGCAACGTCTATCTACAAATGAAAAATCAGTTTTTTTGTCAAGATCAAAGAGGAAAGACATAAACATAAATGGAAAAAATAGACAAGAAATATCATTTGCTTCTGACAACTGGTCTTATTATGACCCTTCTCTCGACAATAACTGCAAGTCTTTTGTTGTTTGGTTGCTAACTCAATGCTTGATTTTATTCGTGAAGTAACTTTTGGATGCCCCTTAGTTTTGACTGCTTGAGTGGGGTCTCGAACATAATTAAGTAAGATTTGAGAATGAATGAAACCACTTTCTGAAGGTACAATTGAACTTATGGTTTCTTCTTCAATTCTTTTTCTCTTTCTTTCTAATTGTTGTTGAATAAATTCATCAGTAATAGCATCAAACCTTCTAATTTCATGAAAACAATCTTTTGCTTCAGAAATAGCCAAATTGCACTTCGAATGAGTTGACAACAAGGACAATGCACTTACTTCACTATTAGTTGTTTCAGAATGAACAGACAAAAGATTTTCAACCTTATAGCTTGCATTCATGGTCCATCTTGTTAAAATATACTTTTCAGGAAGGGTCATCATTTGTTTCTTCTTGAAGATGTACAAAATATGTTTGCACAAAATCCCCATGGTCTCAAACTTTGCACAAGAACAATGAGTAGTGGAACTTTCTTTCAAATTGTAATCAACAATTGCCCACAACTCACTGTGTCAAAACATTGTGTTGGAACTTTCTATCAAATTGTAATCAACAATTGCTCACAACAGACAAAACATTTTGTTTCATGATTACTTTTTGCAATGGATTTTTTTTTTCATACTAGAATTTTATCTCTAATATCATATAAAGAATTATTCCATCCCAAAAATTTAAGTTGTTAATAATCACATATGTATTTATTTTGTATTATATCTCTTAACAATTTTTTGTTTAATGTATTTTGAGGTATTATTTAACGGGAAATCATTTCTGCAATTGTGAATAAAATCATTCCATCTGCAATTAATACAAAAATAAGAGAGAGAAGAGAGAAAACTGTGTCAGTGGCATAAGAATGATTTCTACCACAACGGCAGAAATCATCCCCTCATTATTTGAGTTTATAAATGTTGTTTTACCATTTTTATTGATGGAAACAATATAAATTACTAGTCGAAGAAGATATTAATCACATATCATAAATGAACGAATTGAGATTGAGAATTCAAAAAAGTGAGGTAATTATGATAAGTCGGCCATGAGGGTGACAAAACAAGTTATGACTAGCGACTGACACGTCAAAATGCATATAGTTTTGACCCACGGATTCACATGGGTCATGTACGGGTTCGAGTTTCTGACACAAATTAGTGTTGTGTCATGTCATAGGTTGACCTGCATAACCCACCTGTCAACCCGTATTGAGGATATTTTTGGTGATTCACATTCTAAAATTTAATTCATATCGTACATAATGTCATGTAAATCTGTGGGTATACGTGTCAATTATAATTATTATTTTTTTAAAATAAGTTCTTAATTTTTTCGCGTCGTGTAGTGTTAACGAAAACGTCAACGAAAACATGTTGTGTAAATGTTGAGTGGTTTCGTGTTCATATCATGTCGTGTCGACGCATTTTGGCACCCTGCTCAGCCAAATATTATACAAGATTTTAAGGTTTAGGAGGTTGTATTAGATTAGGATTTTAAAAGATTTTTTTGAGATAAAAAATCTTATAGATTTTAAAAGACTATTTAGACTTGGAGGGACTTTAAAGACTTTTTTAAAAGACTTTTTTTACAATCTAGATTTAATAAGATTAGATTTTAAAGGATTTTAATAGAATTTATAAGATTTGAAAGGGCAATATGGATTTATAAGATTTTAAAAAATCATATGAATTTTTAACAAACATTCGAAATTACAAGAGTCAATAAAAAAATAACAAAGAAATGCAATGATATTAATAAAAAAAAGTAAAACATAATATAATTTTCTCAATCAGAAAAATATAATATAATTTTTAACAAACATTTAAAATTACTAAGCAACAACTCTATATATCTAAAGCTATAGTAGTCCTCCACGCGTTAACATTTTCTCATTCCTACTCTTCGGTTTGACCAATGGTTGAAAATTATTTTCTTCATTTGATATCAAAGCTATGCATATATGATTATAAGACCTAAATTTTTTTATTTATTAAAATTATTCTAAATTTACATATAGAATCTAAAGTTCATGATAAAATTTCGTTTGAAAATTTTTGCAATTGATCCTGGAAACTTTGGGATTTTTGTTCTACGTGATGAGATTTTTGTTTTACATTGAATATTTGAACCGAGTTGTTAAAAGATGAATTTGGGGGCAACTCGGAAGTAAAAGCAATCCAAGTTCAATTATAACTTAGGTGTCGCGACTTTTCAATAATTAATTAAACTAATGACATTTTTTTTTTTTTACAGAAAACACCTATTTTATAACCATTCTACAAAATAATGTTAAAAAAACAAAAAATACATAACACAATCAAACAGACCATATATGAGTCTGCTGATTATTTTTTTGTTTTTTTATTTAAAAAAAATTGTTTTAAATGTAAATTTTGAAAACTAAAAATAGAAGAAGAATAAATATCATTTGAATATAATTAGATTTAGAGTTAAAAAAATTGTGTTTATTTATAAAAATTCCATAAGTAAACTTTTATAATTACAAAAATGTCATTACAAAATAATTTAAAATTAAAAGAAATTGAATTTATTGCTTTGTTAAATACATGATACTTTAATCCTGTGTTAGGACCATTGTTTGAATTTTGAAAACAGAAGTCAGCGTGGTGCGTGCGGTGGCAACGTTGGACGAGTAAATAAAACAATAAAAGTGACATGTATTATGTCAACCAAGAATCAATCTTGAAAACGCGGTTGGCTTATATATATATATATATATATATATAGAATGTGACACACTTCTTGAGTTAGTTGTAACTTGTAACTGTTTTCTTTCCTTTTCTCTCACTCAAGAAAGAAGAGTCACACACTGACACTGTCACACAAAATTGCAAAAACATGGATTGGGTTCGCGGAAACACGCTTGGACGGGGAAGCTTTGCCACCGTCAATCTGGCCATACCCACAAACCGTTCCACTCAGTTTTCTTCTCCCACCGCCGTCAAATCCTCCTCCTCCGATGATGTTTTCGCCTCGTATTTGCTCAAGAACGAGAAAGAGATACTCGACCACCTAGGGTATTGCCCGCACATCGTTAAGTGTTACGGCCATGATTATACCTTTGAAAACGGTGGAGAGTACTATAATCTGTTTCTCGAATACGCTGCCGGTGGTACCCTCGCTGATCAGCTCAAGAATCACGGTGGGGGGTTCCCGGAATCCCGTGTTCGACGATACACGAGATCCATCATCGAAGGTCTCAACCATATTCACGCCAAGGGTTTTGTCCACTGCGATATAAAGCTACAAAACATTCTAGTTTTCGTCGACAATGATACTATCAAGATTGCGGACTTTGGTCTTGCAAAGGAGACAGGGAAGGAAGAACAGAGTCAAACAACAACGTGGGCAGGGGATGAGTGCAGGGGAACTCCTATGTTTATGTCGCCGGAGTCACTGAACAACAACGAGTGCGAGTCTCCGGCGGATATATGGGCTCTGGGCTGCGCCGTGGTGGAGATGGTTACCGGAAAACCCGCTTGGAATGTGGGCAGCGGATCGAATGATATCTGGCAATTGCTGTTTCGAATTGGGGTGGGTGAAGAATTGCCGCATGTTCCAGATGAATTGTCCCAACAAGGGAAGGATTTTCTTGGCAAGTGTTTTGTTAGGGATCCCAAGAAGAGATGGACGGCTGAGATGCTTTTGAAACATCCCTTTGTGGTTGTGGCTGATGATGATGATGATGATGACATTGTTCCAACATTCAAGCACGTGCACGTCAATGATCAGTTGTTGGAGCAAGAGGAAGAGGTAGAGCCATCTCCAAGGTCTAACTTCGATTTCCCTCATTGTCCTTTCACTACTGGTTCGTCGTCCTGTTTGCCAAGTTTATGTTCGCCGGCGGATCGGCTCCGGCGGCTGGTCACCGATCAGAGACCAATTGGTTGGTCAGAAACGGATGGGTGGACTAGTGTGAGGGGAGGTTATTAGAATTTTCATAGCATGCATGCAGATGAGAGGAGAAGCAAGGGAATCACAAGAGAAGATTAATGTTCATCACATGATCTAACGGTTCTGATTTCATCATGTTCTTTTATTCTTTTTTTATTCTTTTTTTTCTTTTTTTTCCTTAGTAGATAACATCCTCTAACAATTTTGTTATCGGATTAGGCTCTATTTCCTCGTTGAATCGAATTAGGATTAGACACTTTCAGTGACCGACTGAGTGTACAGAGATTAATTTTGTAACCCAAAATATTATTTTATTTTCTCAATTCAATTGGTATTTTGTTTCTTTTTATCGAGGTTTTCAAGTCTCCTCACACCCTAATCCAATGTTAATCAACTAACAACTAGTTCTTCTTCCTTGAAGATGAGATTTGAATCGAACTGAATATTTGCTGAGTTTGAGTAAAATTGTTATTTATGTAACTAATTTTCTTTAGATAACTGTTTAGAATATTCATATTTTGATTGTTTTGAGTTTTCGATTAACAATATTTCTTTTTGTTTCTTTATCAATATTTATATTTTGAATTTTTTTATATTGTACGAATACAAATAAAGAAGATATAGTAAGATTACCCCAAAAAAAAAAAAACAAGAAGAAGAAGAAGAAGATATAGTAACTAACAAGAAGACTAGATATAATGTCCTTCCAAAAGAAAAGAAAAAAAAAAAGAATAGATATAATCTTATCAGCGAGTGATGGTTTTTGTTTAATCATAATATATTCATAAATATTGTTGTAACTTGTAAGATTGATTTATTAAAAATTATCTCGTTTAAGAAGACTTCTTTTAAAAAATTTATCTTCCTTTCTTTTGCGTGTTAATGAGTGGTGGAATAAATGAATGATAGAAAGAATTGCAAATTCATATGTAGATGATTTTCTATTCGCAACATTTGATCTATTTTAGCTAAAAATAATGAATCTAATTTTATTTTTTTTATAGATTTCAATTAGCAATAACGCTATATATTACCATGATGCACTTACCCAATACCATACAATTAAAGTAAAGATCGAGTTGTTGTTCTAGGTGTTTCTTTACATATGTTCCAATGCTTCAAGGAATCAAATTTTCTTTTATTTCTTTTTTAAAAAATGTTTTTTGTTTATTTTGGTAGGAACAAAGTAATGTCAAGCCCTGTCGGACTTCACAAATCTAATTTGAGGTTTGAGCCTCCTTATGCTTAGGAATTGCGATTCTCAATAATAAATTTATTATGATATTTTTTTTACGTAAAACACCTTTTTTTTTTTTGGTATGCTAAACACCTATTTTATTAACTATTGTATAAAATAGTTTTAAGAACAAAAAATACATAACACAATCAAATAGACTAACATAAGTCTGTTGATTATGTTTTTGTTTTTTTAATTTTAAAAAATTGTATTAAATGTAAATTTTGAAAACTAAAAATAGAAGAATAAAAAAAGTTATTTGAATATAATTAGATTTAAAGTTAAAAAAGTTGAATTTGTTTATAAAAATTTGTTTATAAAAATGCCATAAGTAAACTTTTATAATTATAAAAATGTCATTATAAAGTAATTTAAAATGAAAATAAATTGAATTTATTTATGAAAGTATTATGATTGAATCATTATAATTATAAAATTGACTCCGTAAAAAGAATAAAACCAAGAAACAAATTTAGAGAATATTCACAGATTTTTTTTCCATTTTTAGTTTTAAAAACAAACAAAAAACATTTTTTATTTTGGGAGTCATTTTTAAAATAAATTTTTTTCAAATAATTCTTTTATAATTATTTTCTGCTTTTTTTGTGACTTTAAAAAAAAAAAAATAGATATGCAAATACTTATTTATAACCGGAAGGATTTATTTTATTTTTTTAGAAGAAAAAAAAATGTGATCCTTCCCCTGTAACATAATACCTTAATCATTTGTTAGTACCATTGTTTGAAAGCAGAAGTCAGCGTCGTGCGGTGCCAACGTTGGACCAGTAAAAGAATAAAAGTGGCATGTCAAGTAAAACATTAAAGCCTATAAGAAAATGGATTATTTGTTTTTGTTTTTATTTTTTTTAAAAAAGAATTAACAATATTCTGTTTTTGTGGTTCAGACAAAATTCCAAAACCCTAGCTTTTCATTTCTGACTACACCATGAATTGTTTCCGCAAAACTACGTTATTTTTCGCTGTGTTCCTCTCGTGCTGATTCAACGGTGCAATTACTGCGTCGTTTTGATTCTGATGCCGCTGTTGTTCTTGTTTTCAGCGAGCACAAGCAACATACAACATTAAACTTCAATTTCTCTTTCGTAGGATACTCTAATAAACACACATGGTGCTGCCACTAGTTTCTTATTCATTACTGGATCCCTTTTATAACCGTGAGTTTACCCTTTTTTATTTTTATTTTAATTTCATTTTTCAAGTTTAAAGATGGAATTTTTCAAGTTTTCCTTGAAAACCACTCAATTTTTGAGTCCTAATTACTTCTCTACATTCGACTTTAGGCATGGTTGGTTATCAACATTTGAACTTTGTCTCACTAAATTTGAAATTTTAAAAATGAAAAATAAAAACCCAAATCAATATATGGACTCTGAATGAAGATTCTTGCTCTGTGATTGTGCTCATTACTTTCTAAACTGTAGCTCATGGGGCATATTTTACTTGTTTTGATGTGATTTTTGTTTTGCAGGTGTTTCCCCCAGCATGGAGTTTATCAGTCCCCACTTATCAGCTTCTAAGTCATATTCTATTGGTTTGAAGGTTTTATTTGCTTTTCTCCTACATGTTTCTATTTATTGTTTTGGATATTTATTACATCTTCCAGATTCATTGCATTTACTCTAATGAAATTTTGCCTACAAGCCTGGGGGAAGCAATTACTAGCAGAAATAGAAGTATCAAATTACATTAAACTGTTGATACTTGATATTGGTCAACCAATGATTTTATTATTGGCTTGCTTTCCTGATGTGTGTGACTGAGTGAGGATCTTAATCTAATGTCTTTTGGAGTAGTCTAATCTCAGGAGTACATCTTTAATTTCATTTCATCGTTCACCTGAGGTGGTAGAGCAGTGGCTGCACTGCAATGATTTTCTATACTCCCTTCAATATGTAACTCTTGTTTGCTATTCCTATTGGGATGTCCCAGAAGTTTTTCCAGTTACTGAATGCAATTTGTTGTTTTTTTTACCCGAATTGCCCTTGCATCCAAAAACATGTATCTTGAGATGCTATTGCTAACTTCGAGGCAACTTAAGTAGTAGTGCTCTCTTATCTATATGCAAAAGCTATTCGTCTCCATATGAGGTTGAATATCATATGGGCAATAAAAAATTGACCTCTCTAGTGGTGCACTCTAATTATACTTTGTCTTCTGTTTGTATTTATAATTGAATTTGTTAGTAGTTTCAAGTGCGAGTCGTAATGACATCCTTCTGGATAAACCTTAGTCAAAATATGATTCATTTCTAATGTAGTGATTATGGAGACTGATTTATTCCCATCGTTGATTGACTTATGTATTGCCATGTAGATGCATATCATGGCCATAGGTTTGCAACTCTGTAGTTTACGAGATTGTACCAAGCCAGATTGTTGGTGGATTAATTGAATATGCTACATTAGCATAAATGTTGGTTGTTGACACTTGGTACAGAGATTGAGATGTTCAATTAAACATGTCACGTAGAGAATCAGAAGTTCACTGAATAATACTCAAAACTTATGGAATGTTATTTGTTCGAAGTGCTTTTATATTCTTCTTAATAGTTTATCGTGGCCTTACTCCTACAAATTAACCACAGAAGTTGCTGAGCAAACTTGTTAGCCTTTGTCTTACATTGAAGAAAGAAATCTTAGACTTTGTAAACTTACTCTTTGTTTCGTCCTTGTTGCAGTTTAAGTATCAACAATTTCACAGTGGTGGATCAACATTGCCTTGTGTTTTACTTTGTGAAAGTCAAAAGCCCAGAGGCAATGAAACTGCGTGGAGGCGAAAAATGTTACCCCAAAATGTGGATTTCCCACCACATTTTCCAAAGAAAAAGAAAAAACCATTTCCTATTCCCTTTAAGGAAATCAAACAGGCTGCAAGGGAGGACCGAAAACTTGCACACATGGGAATAGAGAAACCTCTTGAGCCTCCGAAGAATGGATTACTTGTTCCAGACCTAGTTCCTGTTGCCTATGAAGTATTTGATGCTTGGAAGCTTTTGATCAAAGGTCTAGCCCAACTGTTGCATGTCATTCCTGTACATGGCTGTAGGTAGATTATATCCTACTACTTATCTTCTAGTTTTTTGGTGAATGTCCAAGTTGCTTTGCATTTGTTTTCTTTTATTTTAATGCTGATGTAGGAGTTGAATTCTTATCAATTCAATTCATTCAGTGAATGCTCAGAAGTTCATGTGGCTCAGACTGGTCACCACATTCTGAATTGTCACGGTCCTACCAGTCCACGGCGTCATAGTTCTCATGCATGGGTCAAGGGTTCCATCAATGATATACTTGTCCCCATTGAGTCCTATCATCTCTTTGACCCCTTTGGTAGGCGCATTATGCATGATACACGATTTGAATATGACCGGATTCCAGCTGTTGTTGAGCTATGCATTCAAGCTGGTGTGGATATCCCAGAGTATCCTTCACGCCGAAGGACCAATCCCGTAAGAATGTTAGGGAGGAAAATACTTGACAGAGGCGGATATGTAGAGGAACCTAAACCATGGCGTTTTGTGGAATCTTCTTCACTCATTGACTTTGATACTTACAGAGCTTGTGAACGATTTCCATGTCCACCATTGTCAGATGTACCTAAAATCGCCCAAGAAACAATTGACTCGTATGAAACTGTCAGAAAGGGTTTGAGGAGGTTGATGAATAAATACACTGTGAAAGCATGTGGTTATTGCTCAGAGGTTCATGTGGGGCCATGGGGCCACAATGCTAAGCTTTGTGGATCATTTAAGCACCAATGGAGGGATGGGAAGCATGGTTGGCAGGATGCTACTGTGGAAGAAGTTTTTCCTCCTAATTATGTGTGGCATGTTAGAGACCCTAATGGACCTCCCTTGAGTTCTGCACTGAGAAGATTTTATGGAAAGGCTCCTGCCGTGGTTGAAGTTTGTGTGCAAGCCGGTGCCCGGATTCCGGATGTGTACAAGCCTATGATGAGGCTTGACATTGTAATCCCAGACAGTGAAGAAGCAAGAATGATTGCATGATGTAATCTGACAAAATGCATAATTTAGCATGAGAAACAGATTTGATGATCTACCAGAAGGGGAGGACCTGAAAAGAGTCTTCCAACAACACTTGTCTGATTCATTGACTAGAGGCTTACCTTCCCATGTATTTCAACTTTAGTGTACTTGTATATAAGCCAATAGCAGAGTAAGTAGGTTGTATTACTAAATTTTGGCATGTCAATTTGTCTATATGTCTGAACTAGTGGAGAGTTATGTAGGAAGATCAATGCAAGAGTTAATTGATTGCATGTCACAAATACAATAAAATCATGTGAGTTTGTACTTGTCTAATTAGTTACGGACTCTCTTCTGCCATATTCATAGGTAGAGGTGGCAAAACAGGTCGGCCTGTCCCGACCCGCTATCAACTCACCAAAAATGAGTTGGCCTGCCCTGTCTGTCTCTTGAATGTGGGTTAAAAAATTCAATTCACCTTGTTTTATGGTGGGTTGGCGGGTTAATCCGCTTAAAAAATAAAAAAATATTTAAAAATTAAAAATAAATTATATTTTATGAATTTTATAATATTATTTATTTTTATTTTACACTCCTCTTAGTTGGGTGGGTTGATGGGTTACCCGTTCTGTTTTGGCGAGTTGGCCCGTCAGGTTTAACCCATATTATCATCTCTGTTCATACAGGAGGCAAAGTGGATAACTCGACCCATTTCACCTCTAATCCGCTTTAAAATAACCCAACCTGTTCCATCTAGTTTTTGAAAATTTCAATGCACCCCAATGTGACTTGCCAACCTATCAACATATTAAAAAAGTGAAATTTTTTAAAAGATTTTCATACCATAAATGTAAAAAGTGTCAAATGAAAGCAGAAGAGATACTAAAAATTATCATTGATTATTTTTTTTTAAAAATAAAAAATAAAAATAAAAAATCAACCAAGCAAGTTAACCTACCCCGTCACGAGTTAAACCTATTTTATCCTTTAAGCGGGACGGGTTCAAGTGATTTGACCGATTGAAAATTTCGATCTAACCAACTATTTGTGACAGGTTAAATGGACCAACCTGATCCGTTGGACCCGTTTTAATGTATCGCTTCCCTCTTTGCCTTCTTGCATGAGAAATTTTGGAAGGATTTTTCTTCATGCAAGGAACATAACAACCCTTCAATTATTAGTAGGACTTACGCAGTCAATGGCACTCGCATAAAATCCAACAGGTGTGAATCATGTGATCTCCTTGGTAGAAAAAAAAAATCATTTTTGAGCAGAAAGTAAAAATTTCTCACTTGCTGTATACAACTTGTCATTTATATATGGAAAAAATGTTTATTCTTTTAAATGATATAACTTGTATTCTTTTACTCTTACAAAGAAGTGGGATCCATTACTTTATTTTTTTTATCAACTCTCTCTTCTCCTTTATCTATCTCTTTTTCTTTCTTAAAATGACACAATTTTACATTATTTAAAATAACGTACACTTTTTCCTTTATTTATATGATTAATGGCATATTAATTATTGCTCATTGACCAGACATTTTTCAATTTGTTGCTGCTGTACGTCTAACATTGAACTAAGAAAAACAAAGACCTATCAAACTCAATATATTTTTGAGAATTTTTTTTGCAAATTCACAAATTGACATTATGTGGGCAGTATCTTATGAAGATCTATTAAATTTCTAATTAACAATAATTGATTTTATACTTTACTTAAAATATATTTTAGGCTTTTTACCAAAACAATAAAAATAATTTAGGCCTTCAGATGTTAATATGAGATTAATTTGTGTTTTGTTTTAAAAAAAATATTATATGAGATTACCCTAAACATAAAATAAAATTTATCTGGCTTCCTACTTTTTATTAGATTATTTTAAAAACTTATTTTTCCATAATTTATCTTTCAAACAAAAAAATAATAACACATCTTAATTGTTGTGTATTCTCATTCTTATATTCATGAATCCTTTACTTTCATTTCAAATGACCATAGTCCCTGTCACCAAATTGTCTTCAAACTTTGAAAATTTATTCTCAAAACGAAATTCATCAAAAATATTTTTATTTTACAAAGTAGTGCTAGAAAATAATTCTATGAAATAGTATTAAAAATACAAATAATAATAAATAAATAAAAACAGGCCTAGGATTCTGCTATGAAAGGCAAAGTATATTTATGTTAAGGCTTTAATATTTGTACGGTAGATAAATATACTTTTACATATATACTTTTATACTTAAGAGATAATTATTTCCAAGAAAGACATTAAACCCTTGCTAAGTTATTTACTCCTTAAAATGGAATGTTTTCCGCATATGCAAAGAAGTTTGGTACATGCACAGAAACAACAAATTTGGAAAAGCAATGAAGCTCCTTATGCAGCGTTTGTCTCTGGGTATTTTTGTTCTGCTTCTCTCCTTCTTCTTTGTAGCGTTCAGGCCAAAGGAAACTGCCATGCCAACCTATGAGATTTTTGGAGTGAAGATTGAGAAGAACCCACCTCAATCTAAACTCACTGAGCTTGGAGTCACAACTTGGTCCAAGTAACTTTTTTTTCCCCCTCTCTATCTTCACCTTTCTTTCCAAATATTATCATGTTACTTAGCTTTTCACTGCTTCCAATGACGTGTGTCCTTCAAAGTTTGAAACTTTGCTGCATAACAAATTTTGGGTCTTGATCATGCTTGTGCTTCATACTCCAATTTCAGAAGTTGTTGTGGGGGGTAGTGATAACAATTTTTTTTTCTTCCTTCCCTTTTGTGGGATGTTTGTGGGGTTGATCCACAATAGCCTATGGACATTTGTACAATTGCATCATTTACTTGCTCTTGAAACTATCAGCTTGCACAATCAGTAGTCTCTTTCTAGGTTCTTGCTGGGTTTATCTTGTATCTCTTTCTTTGCTTTGGATTCCTTGAAAGACTAGTGCTTTAGCTCATTCTTATGCTGCTTGGGTCCTAAGGTTGTAAAGGGTAGGTCTGGTTTTAATTACTTTGTTCCACATATTTGTTGGAAGCAACCAGTGTGGTTTACCTCCTATTTTTTTCTCTGTTGATTTCCTGTTCTGTTTTCTTTTGTTTCTTAGAGAAAGGAAAAAAAGAAAAAGAAACATCTTTATAGTTTTATATATTACATGTTTAAATCCCTTGTGAAATTTTTGTCATATTAACATCCCTTGTTTGATAAAATAGTTAATTTTTTTAAAACATATTGTATTTATAATTATAACCTTAGGTCTTAAATTGAATGTATTTAAATCATATACTGATAGTAAGATTGATCTAAATTACGATCAATTCTTATGATAATAATATTTTAATCGTTTTTTAATCTTGTAGAAGGTGTTGGTGAAACAAAAAAATTAGTGTGAAGGTATCTTTAATGCTGGTATTTATTTGTTCTTCTCTATTCTTCCATATTTACAATTTTTGTAGTATATAATCATGCTTAGAAAATACATCTCAAATGTGATGGATGGTATTTTGGGTTGGTTGTGCAGTTCTTCTTTAAAGCTTCCCTCTATTTGATTCTTGGTGATCTTGTCCCTTCTCTATTCAACTTAATCTTGAGGGGGGAAATGTGCTGGATGTTATTGTATGTCATCAAGACAATTATTTCTAGCATCAGCAGATAGAAGCTGAGATGAAATCTTAGGAACATTGTATGCTTTAGATTTTTCACATATTTTAGTAAATTCTTCTTTTGATGTGAAGACAGGAGCCTAGTCATTTATTAACTGGCATGTAATGGCAAATTTTAGCACAAATGGAGGACCTTATATTCCATTGCTTATTGTAAAAAACTAATTCAATCCAAAAGTTTAAGCTGATGAGTAAGACTATATTAATGGTTTTATATATCTCTAACACGCCCCCTCACATGAGAGCCCATTGGACTTGAAGGGTGGACAATCCACAGGCCCACCTACCTGTGTTAAGAAATTTCACAAGAGAAAGTCGAGGACGATGAGGATCGAACTCGTGACGTCGAGACTCTGATACCATGTAAAGAACCAATTCAATCCAAAAGCTTAAGCTGATGAGTGAGGCTACATTAATGATTTTATATATCTCTAACACTTGAGGCTACATTAATGATTTTATATATCTCTAACACTTATCTTGTAACACTTTGCAGTTGGATAATAATAATAATAATAATCTAGATGATTGTTTTATCTTAAGAGATCCAAAGAAGAATACTGTGACTGAGACAGTAGAAAAAAGAAAGTGATAAGAACCTTGGAATGCACCACCTCAAAAGCTAGTTCAAAGGGTGAGAGTGCCCAAGGCTTTATAAACCCCACATTAATTGCCCATACAACCAATGTGGGACTCCAAGTCCCATACCTTGCAAATATGGTGCAAGTCTTTTTACTAGCCCCGGGGCGAACACTGCAATGCCGGCGTCACCACTCGCGCCGCTCGATTGCAACTGAGAGACATAGTGGAAGGCTCTGATACCATTTGATAAGAACTTTGGAATGCACCATCCCAAAAGCTAGCTCAAAGGGTGGGAGTGCCCAAGGCCTTATAAACCCCACATTAGTTGCCCATACAACCAATGTGGGATTCCAAGTCCCGTACCTTGGCAAATGGGTCCTAACAGAAAGCATCCAATAAAAGGATCTTAGGCTTAGAATAACAATATTTTTTCAACTATTTCTAATTTTTTCTTCTTCCTGATCATTTATTTATGATAAAGGAATATATGGAAAACAGGATTCATATTCATTTTCATCCTTGAAAGTTCTATACTAGTTGATGCTGAATGATTCAATATGGAACTGAATTGCAGCCTTATGCAATATGCTTAAAAGTTAAATAATTTGTAGAATTTCCCTTTTATTTTTCCTCCTTTTGTCACAAGCCAAGCCATGACAATAGGCTACAAAGTTAAAGGTAGCATAGCCATTCCCAAATCCCTCCCCTTACATTGGTACTAAACTACCCCATATTAATGAGTTGAGACTTGGCTACCATTGCCTAATATCAGAGGACACTTCTACTAGTACTACTACTATTTATATTCGCAATCAGAGTAAGACATTCAGTCTCACACCATTTATTTTAAGTCATCCATGGCATTTGGACTGCCTAATACTGCAAATATAAATATAGTATTTCCCTTGAATACCCCTTTATTCTGACTTTTGATGCATATATATAGTGGCTCCTTGCTACATTAAAATGTTTGAGAGTAATTGCTGCATCCATTCATCAGTTTAAGGGGGGAGCGTGAAGAAATGACTTTTAACATTTTAATTATGTCAAACGTGCATTTGTTTGTGCAGGTTAATGTCTTTACTTCTTGGTTTCCCTTTCTTTTTTGTGCACTGCCCTTTTATATTTCATCCTATCTGAAGCATCTTTGACGTATGGTTCTAAACATTCAACAGGTGGGAAGGAGGTCCAACCAAAATTCCATGGTCCTTTGCAGCAGAAGAAACTATGTATCTGCTAGAGGGAAAAGTGAAGGTTACTGTTGAAGGGTCTGATGGTTCTTTTGAAATTGGGGCTGGTGATTTAGTTATCTTTCCAAAAGGGATGAACATTACTTGGGAAGTGATTGAAGCTGTGAAGAAGCACTACAGCTTGAAAAAATAATGTGCCTATAACTATTGTGGCCTAATTATGCCATGTATGAACTCTATTTACTCACTTACTGTGGCTATATTTGCTAATTGCTACCGGATTGTACCTAAGACTTCACTTCCTTTAGATTGTACCTTTAACAATGATCCTATTGCAAGTAATCGCTAATCATTATGTTTAAGATGTGATTAAGGAGGGCTCACGTTCTCATCTTTTCACTTGTTTCCTTGCATTATCTACCATAGTTGATTGGATCCCTTGTTACTGATTCTTCTCCATGTCCCTTGTTTCAATACGATTACGGGACAAGAATTCGGTGATTTTGGTTCATCAAATTCTTATAGCATCCCTCAACTCTCTTTTCTTTTGGTTTATACCAATTTGTGACCATCTTTTGTTCTGAACAAAAACTTGGGAAGTGTTATTATCTGAACTAATATCTCGGCAAAACTCATCAACATTAATTTGGGAGGGAATTAAGACCCCTTTATTTAAGGAAGCCCCCCTTGCTCATTCAGTCATTGACATTTCTTGTTCCTCTACTACTCTCCCCTTTGTTTTCAAGGCTTAGACTGAAACAACTGCAAGGCAACCACTGAGATATTTCGAGTGAAGATCCAGAAGAACCCTCCTGATTTGAGCTTGGAGTCACAACTTGGCCCAAGTATGCATATTTTTGCCTTTCATTTTGAGTCTAATCTTTACACACTTGGAAACAATATGTATTAGCAATTTATAATAAAGAATAGGGTATTGTGCCTATTTTTTTTTCCATGTCTACTTTATCTATATCTCTCCACACCGTTAGATCACAATTTTAACCAATAATGAAGGTGATGGGAGAGAGAAAAAGTTTGATATTGTGATCTAACGGTGTGGAGAAAAGTAAGTAAAGTATGTATAAAAAAAAAAAGTAGACATAATATCCTATTCCTTTTGACAATCGTTAAAAATGTTATGTATTCTTGTCATGTGATCTAGACATTAACAATAACAAAGCATGCGATATAAGGAACTTAGACTGGGATAAGAAAATGGATTTTTTTCTTTACTATTCAAATTTCTATTCATCTTTTCATACATAACAATTTAGGAAATGTAGGTTGCATATAAATTTCTAACCTTGTTATTATATAGTTAATTCATTTACCTATCCTAGAAGTTTAGAACAAGGGAAAATGACCAATAGGTGTAGCTCACCAAAAAAGTTTTCCATTTGAATTTATATGAGATAACGAAATATTAAACTAATTTACTTAATAATTTGCCAACATTCTGATACATCATTTTATGGTTAACTGTATGTAAATTAAATAATTAATAGTTAAATTGTTTTGATGCTTAATTAGTCGGTATACGAACTGAAATGGAAAAACCGCATTTAAGTTATTAATTATGCTAATATTTCGGGTTAAGTTATGAAATCATTTGACTAAAGAAAAATTATATGAACTGAAATGAAAAATATCTTCACAATGCAGACTTTTTTTGGTCATTCTCTCCAAAAACAATGCAATTTTTGTGTCCCAAGCAAAGCCATAACAACAGGCTACAAAGTCGTAGGTAACATTCCCTTTGTAAATCCCTCTAGGATGCTGTGCTACTCCATATCCATATCGATGGAAAAGAGATAAGGTTTGGCTACGAAGGCCTAAAAATCAGAGCAATCATGCATATGTGCCACTACTATATTTCATTAAGTGGTTGAAACCACACAATTAATTTGATAAAAATGAATTCTTTCATGTTGAAATTTTGTATGAGGTGAAAATTTTCTGTCTATTTCTTATAAATATTCACAAATTTTAATAAGATCCCACATATTTAATGTTAAACACAAAATTCTCACATGATAAGATTATGTGAAATATAAATTTCATTATCCTTCTGTTAACCTCTTATACCACTCATGATACTTAAATATCACCTTTTACCACTCATGGTACATTCCTTTGTATGTGCAGGTTTCTTCTTGATTTTTCTTTCATTCTTGTGCTTTTTCTGTGGTATCTTTATATATTTAACTGAGTTACTTTGACATATGAGGTATTTACACATCACAGGTGGGAAGGTGAATCAAGCAAAATTCCATGGACAATTTCAGCCAAAGAGACTGCTTATGCTGGAGGGTAAAGCGAAGATTTATGTTGATGGGTATTTTGAATTTGAGGCTGGTGATTTAGGTGTCTTTCCTAAAGGAATGAGCATGACTTGGGACATTATTGAATCTGTGAAGAAGCACTACAAAATGGAAAAATAATGCACCTAGCTAGCTATAGGCCCTTAAATGTTGCAACTAAAATATGTGATGTATTATGTATAAAGATAAATAGAACCATTTATGGAAATTATTGAAGCTGTTATGCATATTAATAATAATAAGCCTTTTATGCCATTACATTGAACCGTTGATCGTGATTCTATTAAAAGAAACCGTTAATGATTAAGAAGGTTTTTGAGTTTGCACATTGTCATATGAATGGACATGAACTCAAAGATTTATAATTTCATTGAGTCACTACTTCCCCATTCCCAAAGGAAGGTTCACCTGCTCTGGCCAAGGCAAAGGGTTGCTTGACAACAGTACATGGCTGCAATCAAGGTGTTTAACCATTATAGGAGTTGGAAAGGCCATGAAGAAAAAAATAAGAATGTTCGTAACTTAATTAAAATAAGAGATAAAGATGACACATAACCGTCTAGCATTTTGAGGCTGCAATTTTTACGTTTGAACCAATATTGAAGACCTTGGATTAACTTTCTATGTATCTCAAACAGCTTGTTCCATAGAAACCAGATTTTCACATTATGTAAGTGTTTTAGGAAAATTCATGCATATATTGGACCTAGAAAATAGCCTTTCCTACAGATATGGATCCACTGTAGACCAAAGATATTATTGTTACATGATTAGTTTCTGTGGTGGCATTTTATTTTTCCCTTTCAACCGTTTTTATTCAAGTTTTCAATCTATTTGGCCGAATTAATTCAATGAAGTATGTTCTTTTTTTTCTTTTTCTTTTTTCTTTTTGACATAAATGAAGTATATGTCCTTGAAGAAACTATGATATCCTTTTTATCATTATTAATCCATGGTTGGTTTCATTTATCATATTAATTTTGATTTAACAAGTCCAAGTCTAGGAATGTACAAAAGTTTAAGTTCCATTTTGATAAGTCCCAATCCATTCAGATAGATTTTTATTAAGACAAAAAGTTTTCATGTAAAACATTAGCTGAACTTTTAAAATGAAAAATGATATCACATTATCAGTTAGGTCCTTCAGAAATTACTCCTTAATGTCAAAGTGACACCAGTACAAGAGAAAAAAAATGTCTTCAGTCAGACTTTCTCAAAACAAATTGAAATTTTGTATAATGTGCTGCCTAAATTAGCAATGCTACACTATACCTTCCTTTTTTCTAATTATTTCCTTCCTATCCAGTGAACTTAGACCAGTAGCTATGCTGTTATACATGAGATAATTACAGCAAACTTTTTTTTGCATGTGATTTTTACAAATAACAATGACAATGATAAATTATACACTGAATATGATAAAAATATAATATTACATGCTCATGGCTCTTGATGAAAGCTCTGACTCCCTCTCTTGTAAGTCTGATTCAGCTAAGTCAACATTCACCTGCAGAAGATTAATCAGATTTGGTCAAATCTACCTAATACATCCTCATAGCTCATAACCGCTGCAAAAGGAGGAAAACATCTCCGATGGGGAATATTAGGGGTGTGACAGAAAACTAGTTGAACCATTGTGATCCAAACCATTTTTGGTTCAAGAACCGAATAATTTTCTTCGAACTGATTCAAGAACCGAACTATTTTTTCAAAACCAGTTCATTTCAAGAACCAAACTACTTTACCAGTTCAATTAGGTTCGGACTAAAAACCAAATAGAACCATACCCACCTTTAGGAGCGTGAAAAAAAACCAAATGAATCCAACCAAATTGAACCACACCATATTTTTCCAAATTGGTTTAAGAACCGAACCATTTTCTCCAAATTAGTTCAAGAACCGAAACACTTTTTACCAAACTGAACCCCTTTTATGGTTTGGTATAAAAAACCGAACCGAACCATGCACACTAGGGAATATGCTAATAGCAGGGGCTACAATGTAACTTAGAGAAGCAGACATTGTCCATGAATAGGTAAAGACACTGATTTGTCAATCCACAAAATAACTCATTAACTGGCACACGTTCAAATGTAAGTACATACCATTGAATCCTTCATCTTAGCTAGGTACCGATCCAAAGCACCATCTCCACGAAGAATTTTTCCTCCACATCCAGAGGCATTTAGTGATCCTACTGACTCTTCATCAACAACAACTGCATCAACCTTGTCACTTCCAGTTTTAGTTTCTGGAATCTGGTACATATAAGCATTCAATGTATTAGTAAAAACCGTATAGATAGATGATAGTTTGTGATGCTTGAAGATAGCCAGGTATAATAAAAATAGACAGACCGTTCAATACCTCAAACATGGCGTCGGTTAAAATGTTTTCCAGTAAGGCTCTTAAACCCCTTGCACCAGTATTTTTGGCTATTGCTTTCTTTGCTATCAGTCTCAGAGCTTTCTCTGTGAAGTGTAGCTTTACCTGAAGTGTAGGGATAAAGCTTCAGACAAATAAACCTCTCTTTGCTCACACTCCCAGCTACTCACTTGCACTCATAATGGAGAAATAAATGAATAAACAAATGAACCCATACACATACAGGACAATTTGAATGATTTGCACTAAAAGCCAAAAGAGTTTACAAGTTTTAACCTAGCAAAGACCAACATCAAATGGCACCAAAAGCCATGACCAATTAAATTACTAAACCAAGGTTGGTTTTGATCAGGCTTCTATGTAATGTTCCAATGTAGAGAGGTAAAAGATATCACCAGTCAATGGATTCAAGGCAGGCTACAGTCAACATCAGCAAATCAAATGATAAAAAAAATGAGAGAGGGATAATTTGGTGTCATGTGAAAATAGGAAGAGGGAGACAGCAAGTAAAGGGCAGCCTGGTACTATAAAGTTCCCATGTATAGTGCTATGGGGTTAGCTTCCAAAAGATCACTCGAGATGTGGGACAAGATAGAAGGCAACGAGGTAATTGTTCGTATCGATTGGGGAGCTTCACATAATTTCATATCGTCAACATTAGTACAGAAACTTAAGCTGCCTATTAAAGAGACACGTCCTAATCAAGTAGAGGTAGGAGATTGGTCGGAAGATTAGGGAAGAGTCAGACCATGGTGTTGGTCTATAATTACATGAATCAACCTCTGTTTCACATGGCATCAACATTAACCGCTGTGCCAAGGTTCCTCTTTACAATAATTATTAGAATAGGTCTCCACTGACAATCATTAAATCAATCACTTTAACCAATTTAAAGTTTGAATGTTATGCATCTCCATATTTCTAAAGTTTGTCGGTTTGAGATGATATGGGACTAGGCGGGCTCAGGTTTTCACACCACACACACACACACATATACAAAGAGAGAGAGAGAGAAAGAGAATTGCTTACATAATTCATGCTAAATAATTTCTTGTACTGCTTACCAAGAGCATTTTTTGGTTCTGTGAGGACCTGCAAACCCAACAACATTTCCCTAGTCATATGACCATATATCTGTTCAGAATCTAAAATAATTAATAGCTACAACTCTTCCTCAAGCGGCCTAAAGTTAAGTAATCCACTTGACAGCAAGTCTAAACTCTAAACCAGCACATACAACATGCTGCAAGCAGCATAAGTGAAAAACTTCAGATGATATTTCCAATGCCCAATCACCCTCAAATTCCTAAGAAGAATTGATGGCTGGCAAATTATAGGTCCAGTGCAAGAAAAACTCTCAAACTCCTTTTGTACATATGAAGTAATCTATACTACATAAAAAAGGGATTCCACTCTTTTGGAATCTTTTCTACTTTCCCAAAGTGCTCAATATTTAGTTTTTCCTATAGAAGGAAAGAGAGGATCAAATTGTCAACATAAAATAAACACAATGACCCACCATTTACAACGACCCTACTTCAAAGGAACTTTTTATTTTTTTTTATAATTACAAATTAAAATCAGTTAACATTCATTTTTCAGATTTAAATATGTAAACTATTATAGTCACATAACAGGTGCCTCTTCTAGTCATAAGAATCTCAATACAAAATTCATATTTATTTTTCATGTTGCTTTCCATAAACTAAATATGAACCATGTGCTTCCACAGGCCAAATGACCATATTTTCTTTTCTTTATCAATCAATTTTGTTATTAGCTTTGTTTATAAAGACAACAAAGTTCATTATTAAACTCAAGATGCAGTGCCCAAATTAACATTTAATTCTTTTTACTAAAAGACCATAAGGATTGTTGACTTTATATGTAGGATTAGGAAGCATCAGAAGTGACAAACAGAATCATCATCAGAGGCAGCAAGCAAGCAGAATAAGTCCTCGGAGCACTAAATTGTTTAGAGAAATCAGGAAAAACTACGATAAGATCAAAGACAATATAAACAATGAAGAAATACCAGCATAAGTTGGTTTTCGGTTAAAGCTGACAAGGTTACTAAGATGGGAAATCGTCCAATAAACTCTGGTATGAGGCCATATGCAATAAGATCAGCACTTTCAACCTGAAAATTATAATGCATCTTTAAGACTCATTTGGAAAGCTGTCAGCTATAACAATTCATTATCTCACTTCTGTGTTTAACTATGGTATTGGAAGTTTGGGAAAACACACAGCATCAAGGTAGCTTGAGTGCATTATTCATTAGCTTCAATTGCTTAAAGTATCTATCTATCTTGTCTTACAATTATAAAAAAGGAGAATAAAATGTCAGATAAGAATCAATTCTCACCGACTCAAGTAAAGATGATGTTACTGCTGAATCTGTTATTCCACCAGTTCTCATTTTGGCACGAACTGGTGCTCCAAAACCAATAGAAGAATCTTCTCGTCTGGTTCATTTGATAAAAAATAGAAGTTAATGAATACTCTGGCAGAAAACAAGACCTATGTGAAGCATCTGAGATCTGTGTACAATTTTTTTTTCAAGAAAGGCAAAAGGGACTTACCTCTCCGAAATGGTTTTTTCAAGATCGATAAATGCTCCACCACATATAAAAAGAATATTCTTTGTGTCCAACTGCATATCATAAAAAATGATCCACCACATCAACACCAACTTTATCCCAAACTGGTTGGGGAATAAATGGAAGATTGTTGAAAAAATTAACAACTAAGAGTTGCTAGAATTACTTGCATACTGTCCGAATCACTAGGTGACCGGCCTGACCAACATTGACAGACTATTGAAAAATACATGGTAGGTAGGTAGATGCAAAAGTTTTCAATGCAAATTTTATTCATTTTGAGTTTTCTCCTTTCTAATTTCCTCCAGCTATCTATAGCTTTCAATGCAAGTGTGTGCATTAGATTTCATCAACCAATTAGGGGATTGTACGTTGTCATTTTCTCATTCTTTTTCCAATAAGAAAAAAATCATTAATTATAATGATAGAAATGCATTCCTGAACAAAAATTCCAGGACAGCAGCAAACAAGAACAAGGTGAGAAATTTTTTCTAATCACATCCAAGTACATGCATGAATAAAATGAAAAGGAATGAGCATGAAAAGAGATTTTTTTTTTTTTCCCAAAACAACATACCTGAATGTTATCCCCCCGTGGTTGCTTCCTACCTCCTTTCTCAGGAACATTTACTATCTAGACAATAAGAAATCATCCCAAGTTTAGGATACTATAAGAATGACACTAACCAATTTAGGCTTATCTCTTCAAAAACATTCAGCACAAATAATCACTGAATTTATAAAAATATATGTTCCAAGAAACAGAAATGTAATATTACAAAAACTTTATTTAATCTGGATTATGAGAGAAATTATATTTATATTGCAAACTTAGAGTATAAATTAATCTATTAAAGTGAATGTCAAAAACAGTGGCTCAGAAAAGCTGCAGAAAATATGCTTAAGAATATAGAATCATAAAATCAACTTAACCATAACTGACCAGGGAGCTAACTTAGTATCAACTCAAATAATTCGAATTTCAGCATTCTTTTTTCCTTTCGTTTATTATTATCATTATTAGCAGTGTGGAGAGGTAGTCCCATTTTTCCTATATTCCAAACGGTCTTTTTTAATCCTTTTTTCCTATATTTATTTATTTATCTTCCTTTCTAATTTATTTTTTCCCTCTTATTTTTTTCCTCTCTTGTTTGTTATTCTTTTTTATTAATTTTTTCTTTTCCCTCAATCTTTTCTTGCCCTTTATTTGGGTTCATCAACCGCCGCCCCAACTAGCTTGGAATAAAAGTGATGTTGATGCTATTATTATCATTATTAATTTTTGTTATGGCAATGGTATGTGTAGGCCAAAAGGATATAATGATAATTCAATGTTTGTTTAATACCGCAGCAGATGCTTCGGCAGTGATTTAAATAAAATAGGCATTTTTTTGGCTCTAGCTTCTACAAGGGACTAATTGGTTGAAAATAACACATTTTCCTTTTAAGTCAATCTAGAATATCAAGGTTTGGCAGAAAATTAGATGCAAAGCAAAGGATAGGGATGAAGAAATAGTAAGCACATCATTTATCTCTGCAGAAAAAAATATTATATTAGAAGGAACAGAAGCAACATATTTGCTCTAACTAAACCCTATGACCAACACCACTGCGTCAACTCAAATTTTCCAAACTGCATCATGTTTCAACAACTCAGTCCTCAATGCCCCCATTGAATTTCCAAACTGAATTATAAAGCATAGCAGCTTCCTCTCATTGAATAAACTCTCTAAAGGGTTTGTCCTTTGAATATCAAAATTAATATCCCAACAAGCAGAAGGATATATTGTATTTTCTTAATCTAACTGAAATTGCCATTAATTCATCAATGCTATTTGCTATAAGTCAATCATCAGCTAAACACTCTTGCACGTATAATGAAATAGAAGATCAAGATGCAATTTCTACGAGAACTACGTGAAAAATGGCATATTTTAGTTGTATAAAAGAGATAACTCTTTCTTATGTCATGATACAAGCACTGCTAGAGGAAGAAAAGTAGAGTAAACAATAAGTTCATTTGCCACAGTTTTTTTTTTTTTTTAAAAAGCAGATAAACCAATTAGCAACAACTCCAATCAAGAATTGCTTTACTTACAGTTCCTTCCAGCATTTTTAATAATGCCTGCTGAACACCCTCGCCAGAAACATCCCGGCTGATATTTACACTCTCAGCCTGTAAAATACACCATACCATTTAAAACCTATAGTAGATGAGAACTTTGGTACTGATCCAATTAAATTAGCAAATAGACCTTCTTAGTTATCTTGTCAACTTCATCAATGTAAATAATTCCTTGTTGAGCTGCTGCAACATTGAAATCTGCTGCCTATATGGCAAAAATAACCAGGATAGCAATGAGATGGAAGGTACAACCACAGACAATGACTTTGCAAAGAAGATCTAGATGAGGAGCCTTCGATTCTAGCTTGCCTCCCTGATATGCATTCATGTGTGTTAAGGGACCTTTTTTATTTGTTCATATCAATTATAATAAATATTAAAACTTTACTTCTTCATTTAAATATTTACAATTTTGTAATTATTTATTTTTAAGAAATGACTAATTCCAGGTATGCACTCTCCACATCTTCACAATAACTACCCCCCCCCCCCCCCCCCCTCCTTCCTTAATGTACTAGCAAAACTTATTCATTTTAATTTCTCATCATTGTGACTAAAATAATGCTTCTCCATAAAAAATACCAGCAAGTGAAGAAATTCAACATAACAAGCACCTTACTAGAAAAGCAACCTAGATCATGTATGAGGACATAAAACCTTAAATGAAGGAAAAACAATAAAATGAGAATATTTTGACCATTTAGCCTTTCCCTAACTTGACAACACAAGTTATAGATACTGATAATTGTATGTGCAATTGAGCAGAAAGAAATCAGCAAATTAATGAAGGAACAAACAAAATCTTTCCTGTCTCCAGCTAATATATGGATGTTAAGGAATTTGGACCAACCTTTACCATTGTCAATTAAATTTCTAAAGCAAGGAAGTTTCCTTGAATGTAACAAGCTCTATTCATAAACAGGCTCATTTTCTAGAGCGAATTGATAATTGATTCAAGCATCATAATTCCACAGAATGATACACATACCGCAAGTAGTTTATACAGTATTGATTCAACATCTTCTCCAACATAACCGGCCTGCAAATTAGAATGTTTCCTCTTTTAGGTCAATAACAACAAAATTTTGTCCTAGGACAAATGAGCCAGCTGAAACTAAATCAGAAATAGTTACAACTATGAATATCCAAAGTTTCATTTGAAGTAAAAATTGATTGCATTCAGAACAACATACCAAATATGTTCTTATCACTCAAATAAGTGAAAATTTCAGATCTTTGGGACAGGAAAATGGATAAATTAGTATTATTTAACTTGTTTACACTGAACTCTTAGTTTAACAAATTCTAATATTACCTCATCAATGAATGCATACTTGCCTGTGTTAAGGTTGTTGCATCAGCAATGACAAAGGGAACATTCACAAATCGAGCTAGTGTTTTCGCAAGTAATGTCTTCCCTATTTTATGAAAGTTAGATTAGCATAGCAGGCATGTTGTAATTTCAAATACAGGTATGAAAAGAGCAAGCAATATGGGTGCAACTAATTTTTATTTTACAAGAAAAAAGGGAAAAGAATTAGTTGTAATGGAAGTCTTACCTGACCCTGTTGGACCCATCAAGAGAACATTACTCTTTTCTAGCTCCACATTTTCGTCATCATCTAATACTTTTGAAATTCCTGAATCTGCACCTGACCTAGTATTGAAATCCACCAATTCAATCATAGCAAATAGATAATGTGAAAGAAAAAAATGAGTTTGACATTTTGTAAATTCCTCATACATTTATCATGGCATATGGATGGGTTCATGCACGAGGAAATTTATATGAAAAAGGGAAATAAGTAAATTAGAAGCATCAGTAGTAATTCCATTAATGATTGCGAATTAAGAAAATGAAAGGGACAGTAAAAGAACTAACCCTTTCTGTAATGTGGTATGGTATATTCTTTTATAGTGGTTATAAACAGCTACAGAAAGCACCTTCAACAGAAACAGAAATAAACTATTAATGAGGTGCAGTCAAAGGCCAAAGTTAGAACAATGCAATTTGCAGTGACTTTTAAGATAACACTTAGGTCTTTTGTTTTGGGAATAGAGAAGGAATGAAAGAAAATGAGAGGAATCAAAACGATGAAAATGAATATATGCATGACACATATATATTTAGACGTAAATAATTTTATTTATCTCCTCATTTTGCTTCCCAAATGAACAACAAAGGGAGCATTAACACATAACTGCACATCAAAATGCCAAATAAAGCATAAGAAACAAACATTGGATTAAACTTGAGCATCAATCTTATACAAAATTCAAGAAAACAGGATACCTTTTTGGCTCTGTCTTGGCCAATAACAAACTTGTCAAGACCCTTGCAGATCTCTTTTGGGGAGGGCAAATCCTTCCCCAAATTAGACCCTCCCCAGGCAGTCTTCTCTCCATTGCCCCCACCTCCGCCGCCGGAACCACCATCCCGTGCCCGGAAGAAATTAGTCCCAGGTGCAAAAGGTGGGCCTGGAGGAGTATGCACAGCCAGACCATTCCCATTCCCATTCCCATTATTACCACCTGGTGGTAGAGGCCACGACTCAGGTGGTTCACCATTATTACCACCACCACCACCACCATTATAGGATCTCAAAGTGTCCCACAATGACACTTCAAGCCAACTTCTAGCATTACTCTTAACCCCCAAATCCTCACCCCCATAACCACCATTTTTACTACTAACACTACTCTCTTTGCCACCACCACCTTTGCCATGTGTGATCCTCCTAGGAGATTGAGACTTACTAGTACCATTGTTAACAACATTATTATTATTATCAGTGACCCTACCAATCTCCACAAAAGTACCTTGCAAAGGTGCAGTGTTGTAAGGTTGAAAGTAATAAGCAGTTTTGCAAGTTGGGCAAAGATTCACAGATTGGTAACCCCCTTCACCTCCTTTAGCAGGAACCGGAGGAATCAAATTGGAACCATTACCAGAACCAGAACCAGAATCAGAATCACTTGTGGGAAATTGGCGATTGGAGAAGAAGAGGCTCATGTCTTTGGTGCAACGAGGGCAATTAGCCTCAGCCCGAATCTTTCGGGTCGGGTTATCGTTGGACCCGCCGCGGTCCCACTTGTATCGCTCCTGAACGCCGACCAGCGGCTCGCGGCGGCGATGGGCAGCGCCGCCACCGCCGGCGACGATTATGTGGTTCAGGTGGGTCGAGATTGGGCGCGCCTGGTTGAATCGGTAGTTGAACCCGGTTCGATTCCGGCGACGGTTACTCGCCGGAACGGCCAAGTGGGTCTCCGAAAGCGATGTCATTTCCTTCACCTTCTTCCATCTCGAGAAGATTCGAGACATGGATGGAGAATTTTGATATAAAAAAAAATTGAAACTTTGGGATTAACACAAGCAAAACAACATGAAAGAATTGATCGGGTTTGTAATGTAATGTTTTGATTTTGAAATGACCCAATTGAGAATTGTGGGAGGGGTGATGAAAAAGACAAGAACTTCGGATCTGTAAGAGCGATTGGGAAAGTGGGGTATGTGTTAATTTATGAGTTTTTTTTTTTTTTTCTGTGTGAGGTAGAAGAAAAGGGAAAGAGAGAGAAAATGAAGGGAAACTTGGATTGGAGGGGAGTAGATTGGGCAATAAGATAAAACACAAACACAAAACAAATTCATACACATACACACATTTGTCTCTCTCTCTCTCTCTCTTTGATATGGTGTGAAGTGGGTGATGGTCATGCGTCAAAATGTGCTGCAGTTAACAAGTTATGCTATGTGGTTTTGTTTCTATATTTTGACAATTTGACCATATCCATTTTCTAAACTCACTCACTTCTCTTTGTATTTGCAGCCATTGGCTACTTTTCTTTTTCTTTTTTTTCTTCCTTTTTTGTTTTCTATATATAGCAGCAAAACAAGTTAAGATAAAAGTAGGAGAATTTGGGCATGCTGTGAGATCCAAGTTCTTTAAGGTGGCATGACCAACAGCATCTAAAGTGGTCAAACGTAGCAAAGAAATTTGTCAATGGATGTTCGTGTTTGGTGGTCATTTATTGTTGGATACGCAAAGCTATCCCCATCATGGATTTTATTGCCTGAGGACTATTGTCATTAATGAGATTTATAACGCCATTTTAATTGAAAGCATGGTTTTATATTAGAATTTTGTATTAACTATGCCACAAAATTAAGTGTTATGAACTAAAATCAATCGAATGGGATCATTTTTAAAGCACGATAGAATCCTCTTCTTGATCCTCATTTGGGACAAGTTAAGTAAGGATGATTTCATATCTTGATTTCACATTATTATATTATATGGTAGATCTCAATCATTCATTTATATATTAACAATCACAATTCTAACTGAGAAGTTTTTTTTTTTTTTTTTTTGGTATTCATGAGGGGCCAAGCCCCAAAACAACAACAAACAAAGTTTCACATAACAGAAACCCAGCAAAAGAAAACTACAAAAACAACAAAATAAAACTCAACAGAGAACTAAAACCAAAGCAGATTAACCAGAATCAAGGTTATCAGCTTCAATAAGCTTGGCCAACTCAGGGTGAGGTGAGAAGATCAGTTGCAGCCCAAATACATCTTCAATAGCCTTCTTAGCAATCCAATCTGCATAACAATTAATTGATCTAGATATATGAGACAAGGCCACCCTCCAATCTTTCTTGAACCATACTCGAATCTTAGCTACCAACTGATAAGTTCTTATCCAGACTAAAAATTATTATTATTTGTTATAGTTATTTAAAATAAAATATATTAATATTTCCTTACAAATGAGTTGAGTAATTTTTTACATTTTTATGTAACATTTTAAGCCATCAGTTTTTTATTTTATTTTATATCTAGTGACTTTGCATGCCAATAATTAGGCAATTATTAAACAACAACTTAGTGATGCCATGTTTATAATGGAGCATATTTTCGCTCCGGTGGATATTTACCATAGTGCCTTCATGCATCAACCCAACGATCACAGTAACGATAAGCTAGTGCATGCTTAGGCTTGGATATGGCCTATGGGAAACTTATAATATGAGTTCCTCCTTGCAATCCTAATCATGCCAGGATTGATGGGATTATGCGTCGTGATGATGATTCATGTGTGTTTTGGGTTTCTAGGATATATTGGTTCAATGTTTCACAATCAGACAAAAGCACCGTACTATAAATTTTTTCTAAAAGATTGTCTGTTCAAAGCATTTGAGAGAAGTTCTTCTAGAGCAGTTCATCAAAGACGTCAGTCAAACATATGGAATCAGTTCCGTCAACAAGCATGGCTTGACACCCCTCCACATCAGCTTCCACCAAGTAGACCCAAAATATGGATTTAGTGTTTGTCATTTTAAATTACATAATTTTATGTCATTTTTAATGAAACTACGTCGTTTTGGTGTGTTTTGTTATTTTTTCTAATTTATAAAATTAGAAATAAAAAAAAATGAAGAAGAGAAAATATTAAAACACACCAAAACAACATAATTTCGTTAAAAATGACATAACTTTGGTCTCGTTAGTTTTATTGACAACTTCAATCCTGTCAAAATATTTCACGGCACTACACGAGATTGCAAAATTGCATTCTGAGTATTATTTTGGTACCGCAAGATATTTTGGATATACATAAGCCTCAAAGGAATAAGATTTGATTGATCTATATAAGTTTTCCTACACTCCTACTCTGTCATGCACAGACACGGAACACGACACGTTGATACGTTAATTTTAAAAAATGTCATATTTCGACACATTGAGACACGTTTTAATATTAAATAAATTTTTAATATATATAATAGAATTTATATTTAATACATATAAGAGTCAATAATAAGTCATATAACCAATTAAATATTTAAATTTCATACCATAAATAAAAATAGGCAAAATGATTTCCAGCAAGCAAGGATCTGCGTCCGGATCTTAGGATACGGCAACGGATCCTGAGTTTTTTTTCTTTTAAAAAAAAAAGTCGTGGGGCCCACTTTTCTGTGTCAGCTATAGATAACACTATCTACGGCTGCTGCAGAAATGTTAAGCCCATATAAATATAAGTAATTTTTCGTATTTTGTTAATTTTTAATGTCAAATTTCATAACAGAAAAATATTAATTTATAAATTATTTCTTTTATATTTAGTTAACAAAATAAAATTAAGATTTAAAAAAAAAACGTGTCCGAGCGTGTCCCCAAATATTGACCGCGTATCGAAACGTGTTAGAGAGTTGACCGTGTGTCCCTAAATGTTGACCGCGTGTCGCACGCATGTCCGAGCGTGTCCGTATTAGACACGTGTCCGACACGCAAATTTTATGCATATGAGCTCCTACTTGAATAAAAGAAAATATATACTAATAATAATGCTTTATTTGCAAGAAAGGATAAATACTAATTTATATACATATATATTCATTATTAAATTGAAAACATATATTACAACTATTATTGGGGCTCAAAGCTTCTATTACAACTATTATTATTAGGTGGTTCAACTAATCAAAGTCAACTAAGCTAGTTTAGTTAAAAAAAAAAAATTAGAAAAAAAAAATTTGGCAGATCATCATTGACAGGTCATTGATCATTTCTTAAAAAATAAGCTTCAAATAAGTTTAAAGAAATTTTATTCTCCAACAACTTCTATATAGAAATAAGAAGAGAAGAGATTCCTCCGTTTCTTATAAACAATAGAAATGATGATTATGAACAACTAAAGATACATAAGAATTTTATTTAGGGGTAAAGGATAAATAAGAAATAGAGTTTGTAAGTCATGTCTTAAAGTCAAACTTATAAGTAGAATTTTACTCAGTAGATATATGCAATAAAACATCTATGTTTAAGATTAAAGTAGAGGCATAGCTGGAAGAAAAGAACCAAATAATGCCAGTTCAAGGTTTCCATTCTCAGAAGCAATTGGGTCATGAATGGAGACTAACGTAGTCCCATCACGAAAGGTGGCTTCAACCTACATTCAATTTTATTTAACAAAATGATGACAATAACATTTGGCAAATTCTTTCTTTTTGTCTCTGTATGAGCCAGGGGGATAGGGAAGAATGGAGAGTACTAAGATAAATTACAACAAAAATTGACCTATATCCTTTTGAAGTTTTAAGAACTCATTGTTATGGACATGACAAAGGTTTATATTCTAGAAGTTCCAATAAAGGATAACACAAACAGGAAATGAATCTTCTATTAATGATGATCCTATTCAGACAGCTAAGCAGCTCGCATTCTAGAAGGCCCAAGAGGGCTAACAGCTAAGAGAGAATTAAGGAAATATTCCTTAATTATACTAATCCTACTACGGCAGCAATGGATCAACAATCGAACTCCCAATACTCCTAAGAGGCCCAAAAGTCCACTCCTGTCAGGTAACCCTTCTATAAATAAGGGGTTAAACCAATAAGGTACACACTCTCTAAACCCTCTTTCTTAGCATGTCACTGTGCACACACCTCACGCTTTGACAATGTCATTTATAATATTGTGCACAATGATCCGCTAATCTCTAGGGTACCTCTCCTATAGGTACCTGAGGGAGGGCAAATAGATCCAATATAAAATTACCAATCTCTGATTGGACATTCACGATCTATCAGATAATAATATTGGCGTCGTTTTTGAGGAACGATAAACTTCGATTCCCATCCAATAATGGTGAAGGGGCAACAGCTGCCATTGCAAGTCTGTGACTAAATCCTGATATGATGGATGCAGAGCACCAAGAAGGCTGCCTCATCAATAAAATCACGGCAAGTGAATAATTCAACCCACCATTATGAAGGCTGAGTAAGGTGCATTATCACCCTACGAACGCGGATCCCGCCTCACAAACAGTTAGTCTGTTTGGTGTTTTATCCTGCCGGTATACCAACAAAACGAAACCATGCTAGGAGAAAAAGCACAAGCTAAGTTTTCTTTCTTTTGCGAATCTTCAATCTAACCTCAATTAATTGCAGAAGGAGAAAATATAATATAAAGCGCTAGGGGGACCTTCCTGATATTTGCTAACAATATATATGGGATAAAGACCTCAATTAATCTTTAACTTTTCATATTTGTATTGTTATTGCTTCTGACAAAAATATCATGCTTTAGATGTAAGGCCAGATATTGAGCCATTCTGGAATGAAAGTCAAAATTATTCCTTCATTAATTAGGCGCACCTAATGATGAGATGGAGATGTTGTATGGTGACAATGACTTTCAAGGTGGTTGACAATTAGGGGGATCCATTATATGTGCAACAAGAGTTTCGTTCCAAATCTGAAATACAACATGCCATGAAATTACATTATATAAAGAGTCATCGTACAACCATAGTTGCAAAAAGCGATGAGCATAGATTTGTGATAAAGTGTCAAAACCATGCTGACGATTGTCCCTGGTATGTGAGGGCAATCATGCCCAAGAATGGAAATACTTGGGTGGTCCGCAAGTGTGATAAAGACCACACCTTCCTGAACCAGGGTCTTACTCGGGTTCATAGATAGCTGGATTTAGAGGTTATATGTGTAGCCATTATGAGTATGTTTTGTATTAACGTGTAGTTATAAATAATTTGTTTTTGTTATTTATTTAGTGAAAAATGTTTATTGATAATATTGAGAACTTGCTTGTTTTTTTATAGATATGTTAAAAGAAGATCCCGCTTTAAAACTAGTTCTG